ACAGTGAAGTACCCCAGCCTTATTCAGTTTGGTTAAAATATGGCCAACAATTCTTGCATACTCCAAAAAGTTTCTGCCTACAACACTTAAGTTGCATACAACACTTTGTCTATAAGCCTTATACCTTAAATACCATATACCTTAACACTCACTGCCCCATTTCAAATAAAACTCCAGCCGACTTCATTAGAAGCTTCTTCAACTAGTGTCAGCAACACTTGGTCTTCCATAGCAGTTACACGCTCAAAGGGCCCTTAGGAAACATTGCGAGTGGTGTGATTTACAATCCCAGTAGCAGCAAACAGCTAACACAGGCTGACTTTTTAGGGAAGAGTGCCAAAGGGAATCAGGAAACCTCCCCTGCAGCAAATGGCCATAGATGTAAACACAAGTTTCTTGAACATGCTCTCTGGGACTTACTTTGTTTCCTGTAAACTCAGTCTTGGTCCTGCTCTCTCATACCATCTCCCCCCCCCCCCCCCCCCCCACTGTATTTACATTGCAAATGTGACTATCAGCATCATTAAACTTTGTTTTAGAAAACAAGAACATTAATCTCAAAATTGTGTCAACAAAATATGCCCATTTGATTACTTCCCAACCCATCCAAAAAAAATTAGGATATTATTATTACTATTACTCATGCCTGCAGTTTATAAATATGAAGGTTAATAAAGCCATTTCATTCCCTGGGAACAAGTCTAGATGGATCTGTCTTTCTAGTTTATCACAATCTCCCAGCTGTGGGAGATAATCTACATTAAGAAATGGTGTCCCTGTGATTAATAGCAGTCTTGCAGGCCACAAACATACCCATTAGATTTCACATTTTATCTAATAAATACATTTCAGGGGAGTAACTTTGGAGGACATGGAAAGTGTGCCACAATTGTAAAACTTAAAAGTCTACTTCATTTTTAAATCCACTAAGAACCACCACTGCCTTCTGCTGCTGCATAGAAGCGATTTAGAGAACAGGCCCAGGTTCTCATCCTAAAAACAAGCAGCTGGAAGGCTAGTAAATGCAGGGAAACCCCAAACCTTAACCTACCTTGCCATGCATCATCCACCCCTGCCTGGCACCACAGCTTTGGATCGTCACACACCTGAGAGAAGCAGCCTCAGAGCTCCCCAACCCTCTTCAGTCCATGGTTGTATTACACACTGCTGGACTTCCATGCCCAGCAAGTCCCTTCATGAAAGAACAGGCATCATCTGTACCAACATAAAGATTTGAGTCCAGTTCAGGACCCCAATACGCACTACCTGCAACTATATCACTTGCAGCAAGTTCCAAATATTTAATTAGGAAAAAAGGGATGGATTTTAGCAGCTACAAAGTAGCCATCACCACACAGTATGAGATGTGGTAACCAAAGAGTGGAATTTACCTTTGTATCAGCCATCATTTTACATATTTGATTGATTTCCTGTGGCCACTCAACCCTGTGCCAATTTTTGTGCTCAGATTCGGTGTGCAGAAAGCACCATCACCTTGAACTGTGTACCTTTACCCTCAGAAGCTCTTTAAAAAAATCCATCTCTTTTTCTAAGGGAGAGTATGTAATAGCTACAATTCCACCAGGAAGAGGTTCTGGCATTCACCTTGAACTCCTGAATCCATCTGCCTGATCCAAATGACTGCAAGAATCCGCTACCTGTCTCAAGCCCTTTGACAATACTTTGTGAAGTGCAATGAAGCTGAAGCATATGGGAAAAAAAGCTGTAAAACAAAACTCAGCCTTAATTTTCATCAAGTCAAGCAACAGGAGATGGATGCAAAATTAAATTAAGATCACCTGCAGAGATGTGAGCAAACATTTATTAAACTCACCTCCACAGCCTCAACTCTGCCATCCCATAGAAGACAAGAAAACATGGAATTGTGGCTACCTGTGGCTGCACATCTGTTATCTGCTAGCAATTCTCACAAGAGGCAATACATGCCTGCAAAAGAGATCAAAGCTGGACACTAAAACGTTTCAAATTAACTATATGGCACAAAGCAGAACCTGCTATTCTATCTCCCATGTGCAGAGGAGTTAATATACAACACTGACATCTGCAGAACCCATGCTGAAACTATCAGGCACATTTTAAATGCAAGTAACTGCATATGAAGCAATGTCTGTGACATAACCCTGAAATACACAAGTTTTCTTCAAGCTTGCTAGCTTGGATAGAATAAGTCAGATACAAAAACCCAAAGCACTTGCCTGCATTGGTAGGGGTTACTGCAAGACAGATTACACCAGTGCAAAACAAAAGTGTCAGACTAGTTTTACACAGTTCAACATTCTGTCAGAGGAAAAAAATGGCTAAAGGGACAACACAATTCATATGAAAAAAACAAATTATCCATGCACAAACTCATAGCCACTAAAGTGAGGGTGTGACTTACACCAAGATACACTGAGTTTAAACAACTAAATCTTCCCACCTGTGAGCAAGAGAGTCTGATCATGATAAGCTTCTTTCATAAGCGCAGATCATTCTGGTCTTTCATATCAAATCTTCAGCATTTATTTTCGTTATAGTAAATAACTGCACCTACGGATCATTTTACAATTCAAGTGTTTGCATAAACCTGTTGCAAGTCAATGCACACATTCCCCAGGAGATTCACCACCAAGACAAAGTCATTCTTTCTCCCAGCTAATGATAAGAATAGCCATCAGTTCAGGCTCCCTCGTGAAATATTTACACACCAATATCCTGCCATCACTTTGGAAACAAAACCTCCATTCAAGAGAACTGAGGATTTACATCGAAGTCACCGCTGAGTCTCCATCACCTGCTCTAGTTGCACTAGCATGAAACCAGAAATGCAGACTGCAGCTAGGCAGCTCAACCATGCAGAATGAGAATAAAGGGGCCAATAATGAGAATTAAATCGTTTAAGGTTTCAAAATTAAGCCAAAAACCTGGGACATAACTATGGCAGCACAATTCAGTGGCATCAGTGGCAAAGAAAGGCTAATCTACAGTTTTAGGGTCTCCTGTCTCATCAGGTGACAACAGCTCACCTACAGAAGGGCCAAGACACTTCCAGTCCTACAAGGACACTTGCACTCTGAGGATTTAACCATTCACAGAGGCAAGAGGGCAGCGTTCAGAACTGTCTCGCATCTCCTCTGAGTAAAAGACAGCAGATCAAAAACTGCAGCTTACAACTCCAGACAAGCATCCATGCTCAGACAGAAGTTGGCCCTCAGGTCAGAGCCACAAGAGATACCTGCACTACTGTAGTAACTTGTACATACAACATACAGGCCTCTCACTTCTCAAGCAGAGTAATGAGGAAGAAGAAAGTAGTTAATGGTTTTAATGATGCATCAGTCAAAGTCATAGACAGCAGTGAATTTTCACTGCCTACATATAAAACCATACCACATTGACTTCGGCCATGCTCACTACCAGAACAATGAGCATGAAGTACTTTATTGCTGTGCTCACTTTTTATGAATAAATTGGACTATGATATGTGGTTTTCCTGGTTTACACTACTCTTCGATCATGGTGTTGCCATATTTTGTCAGTCAGTGAAAAATGTTTTGCGAAACCATCACACAACACCCCCTCCCTTCCCTGGCCCAACTCACCTCCCAGGGCACGCTGCTACAGAAATCCCAGTTCCCTGTTTGTCGGTGACCTCTAGTGGTGAGCACACGCAGGAGAGGAGGAAGGCGACCACAGCACAGTTACACGGGGAGAAAGATGGATCTTTTCTCCCTCCAAAGCCAAATGGTTCATCCATCCTTCTCTCGCAAGCTGCAGTGCACAAGTCCATACAACACAGCGACAGGAGCTCTCACGCAGTAGCCTGCCTTGCCCCCAAATCAGTGGGGCTACTCTCCTAACTGAGTTTGTTACAAACAGCAGTATTTACCTCATTCCCCCTCATTAAGGCGAGGAACAGAGATCCCCATGCTCCCCCGTAACCTCTTCCCCTCCTAAGCACGCAGCCTCCTGTGATCCAAGGCCTGGCTTGCTGTGGCCCTGTGGCTCAAACTGCCGAGGAAATTGTTAAGTTTCAGGAAAGAGCTGTGAGAAGTCCACACTGTAGAGGCACGTAAGATAGGGAAAGTGTAAATATAGGCAGAGGTAAGCTTGTTGAGAGAGGGATGGATAGCAGCTCTAGGGTTCATAAGGAAAGACACCACCACGGAAAGATTGCCAAGGGGGAAACGGAGTCAGCAGATAGCAACGCAGTACATCACAGGTCCATCCTGGGGGGAACCCTTCCCACCCCAACTGCCAACTGCTTGGCCAGCAAAGAGTGTGGGGAGCACACTAAGGCTTAGCCTAGTAGCTATTTATATTCTCTCTTTTTAGCATGCTAACCAAATAAGTGGATTTGGTACACCCTCTCTGCAGACTGAGCACAGAAAAAGAATCATGAACAGAACCACACAGGAACAGAGATAGTAACACCTTGAAATGAAGCAGAAGTTACCGTTGTCTGACAGGTTCACAGCACAGGTCAGATCAAGCTCACTGGCTTGCTCTCCAAGCCTGGCACCTCATCTTAGGGTAGCAGCAAGCAAGACAGAAGGTCCTGCAGCAGTGTGTTACTACTCCACCTGCAGCTCTGCTCCCCATGACGATGTACCAGCACAACACATGCCTGTATTTCAGCTGATGTATCCACAAGCCAATACAGTAACAGGATTTGTGTTTAAACACCGGACTGTGCATCGCAGTAGCAGAGATGTACATTCAGATCTCAATGTTAGTTGTGGAAGTAATTTCTCCTCAGACTGAAAATAACACATTGCAGCAAGTGCTTGGTGAACAAGTCAATTAGCCAGTAATTATATCCAATATACCTCCAAGTATATTCTTTTTGGGGACAGATTCTCCAACAGCTCTTCTTTTACTCTCCCTTTAACTAAACCCTACAGATTCATCGAGGTAACATCGAGCAGGTAACATTTTAATCAATTAAACTGATCAGCGACAAAGACCTGACCATTCTACACTCGCTGTAACAGCAGTACCTTTGCTTTCTTCATGTGGCTCATGATAGTGCCAAGATCTTCAACATCAACAACAGAATTTGCGCCTCCAGTTTCCTCTGCATCAGCCTCCTCCTCACTACTGGTTTCAAACAACTCCTCTGCCTATGTAAGAGATAAAAAAAAGTTAGGAATGTATCTGAATGTTAAATGTAAGACCTTCATCTATGCTAACTGGTGAAATCAGCTCTCACAATCAGTACAAACCACGTAAGAACAACAAATAGTCTACCAATAACCTGTATAATGTATGAGATGCATTTAAACTTGGGGATTTTATCAGTGGGTATTTTTCAGAGTTCAGTAGCACAAAGACCACCTGAAACTCAGTCCAGATATCCTGCCTCCAGATGTCTCTGTTTTCCTCATATGATCAGATAGGCACATGAGAAGTGATACAGAGGAGTCCAACTCCCAGTGCGTACTATGCTGATCTGGAAGCCTAAACCCCTTTACCTCCTCCAGAGTGCCCCTGTCTGAATCAACAGGGAGAGATCTGCTTTCCAAGTCAAACTCTTCAGAGAATAAAGATTGCCTCCCTTTCTGTACACACACAAGGTACAGCACAACAGCACTGGTGTAACAGCAAGATTCACTCCTCTTGTTCCTGCAGCAGCCAGAACTCAAACCCACTCAGTTAGAAAAGCCCCTATTTTCCTACAAAATTCAACATGGCTACAGAAATCATTTCCAACCCACAATAAGTGGCTTGCAGGGAGGCGTTAACAGCTCTGGGTCTTGCCCTGTAGAGCAAGGAAGAGGATTTCTGATTCAAAACCTGCAACCAAACACTCCAGAAGACATAAATAATTACAGGCAGACACACTCAGAGGAAATATAGGACTTGCTCAGGTGACACTCCCCCAGCTGCCTTCGGAAAAACCTTGGGATTCAGGTAAAGCACCTAAGCTTCAAGTTGAGCAGTTAACCTGCTTCCACTTCACAGGGAACTAAATGCTTCACTTGACCAAAACAAAGACTCTGATTAGAACCCAAACAGGCTCCCTGGAACATCGATCACAACATATACCTCCCCCTATTCAAGAAGACTACTTCCTCATCATATAAATGCCATCCAGCCTAAGTCTATCACTAATTCTTCAGTCCTTTTTGGATGGCTTATTCTACTTGTTATCTGCGATGGGATCTCATCCCTCTTCCCCCTCTGCTCCAGAAGACAGAAACATCAAACTCCCACAGCACCCCTCTGGGCTTTAGGAGGAAAGAGGTAAGTCAAATAGTCCTCCAAGTGGCACTAAACCAGCAATAAAGTCCCATTGATGTTGGCTCTACCTCAGTATTCTCATATTCTGATGCCCTGGCTTCATGATCTGAGCTCTCCTTGCTCTGCTTCCCCAGAGATTTGCACTTCCCTTTCTTGCACTTCCCACTGCAGGGCTTCTTTTCTCTTCTGCAGAGCATCTGGAGCCGACTGAGGAACTTGGCTTTCCAGGCTTCAAAGTCAGCCTCAATGCTGCCATGCTTGCTCTGGGCCACGTTGCAGTCCCCCTCAGCCCGAGTCATGATACGGCTGGCACTGAGCATCCACAGCCACTTGTCAATATTTCTTCCAACCTAGGAAAAAAAAAAAAAAAGAGTTAGAGGGAAATTAAATGAAGCTCAATTTGAACAAAGCAGGCAACTAAGAAAGCAAGGACCAAGCCTGGAAACAGAGGCAGTGAGCTGCAGAGGACCACAAGGCAGGGACTTCTGGACTCCCTCTCACCTGCTGACTCAGAGCACAGACACAAGGCAGTCTGACCACCACCACACACCCTCAGGCTCCCATCTGAATATACATCTGCTATCACATTGGTATGATAAGAGATGAGCTCTGGGAACACGCTTCTTTGTGCAATGCTTGTTGGTCAGAATGGCCACATGGGTAACGTTTCCCTTGGCCCCAGCTATACAAACATAACAGCCTGATGACAAGTCATAACATTTTCCTGCCTGAGATAAAACCAATTACTAGGCTAAGATAGTGTCATATTTTACATCAGGAAATAAAGCTAAAATGCACACAACACAGCAAAGTACATCAGTTCAAGAAAAGTCCTTTAAACTAAAAGGCAGCAAGTGAGAGGATTTACAGTACAGTGCCCCCATGCACTGACAGAAAGCTTTCAAAGCTAAGTTAACTCTGTAAGGATTTACCAAAAGTATTACTGTACCTCCTAAATTAATGCAGCACTCGGACTCCTCTCCCATTCAAAAGGGCAGCATAATTGCTTCAAAGCCGCACTGCCCATGCCCTAAACCTGGTCCCTAATCAAGTCCACACAACAGCTGCAATTCTCACATAAACTACCAGTATCACTCAGTTTTGTAGCATTTAAGAAAGTTTAGCCTTTCAGAGGAGCAGAAATCAAAGGTGTACAGGAGGTACTTACTGTGTTGTAATGATCAACATAAACTGAGTTTCCCAAGCCAAACACAGCGTATCTCAGGCCTTTCAGATATGCTTTCCCAAAGCGGAAGTCATTTGCAGTCTCTTCTAACCACTTGCAGAACCATGCTGCACTCTCGGTTGGTTGTCCATCTGTGTATGTAGCTACCAGGAACACACAAATGTTCCTGCTGGTTGTCTAATAATATAAACGGAACAGAATAGAAGAGATCACCGCGTTTTTCAGAACACTTTACATCAGGAAGAGGGCTGTTATACACAGGCAGTCTGAAGAAGTCCAAAGATGAGATTTTTGCTAAGTGGGTTAATAGTCTTTGGTGTGGGATTCTGCAGGTGATAACCCCAACAGTGGTGAATGGCCATCCTCCCTGCAAAGCCATCTTAAATTAGCCAAGAGAGATCAAGCTGCCTTTCCCCTACTTAACAGAGACAGTGGTAAAACAGAACTGGACATGTACGTTCCCCACCTCAATCAACAGCTTCTTGAACAGACTCTTGCAGCAATAAAGTCTCCCACAAATTCAAAAAGCAGCTATCAATATTCATAGAAGAAAAATTCAACAAGGACTATTCAGTATAAATACAGCTCATGAAGTTTCTAACTAAGTATGAAGGCTGCAGAAGTATCACCATCTGCTTACTCTGGTTTTGAAACCTTCCCTAGGTGTACACTGTCAGGGAGAAAACAGGGGGACCTGGTGCAGCCACTCTCACCTAACTCACATATGAGTTACAGAACTAGCCCATAAAAAGTCGTTGCCAGCATCAAAATATTCTACATGATTCTTTCCAAGTAATTTTCAAAATTTACGTATTTTCTGCTGAGGGTTGATTAGCTATACTTGCTTCTATAGAAGAGAAGCAATTTTCAACACACAGCTTTGGGAATTTACAGTATTACAGGATAGGAATACAAGAGAAAAACAGCCTTTACAATCCCAGGAAAAGCTTGTATTTATTATTCGTATTTCTGACATACCTACCTCCTCTGATAAACAATCATCTGGATCATAGTCTCCCATACTAATGACTTCCACAGGCAAATTAAGGGAAATAACTGCTTCAGCCAGACCTTTGGCAAACCTCTGAAAAAAAAATAAAGAGAAAAATTAAATGTAGAAAATTAGCAATTACTTCAACCCAACTATCATAAGGGTCAAACAAGCCCTGCTATGTCCAGTCACAAGACTTTTCCCAGCACCAAAAGAGTAATGACACATGAGAACTGAACACTAGATCCATGATTTAATTAATAATAATTTAATTATAATTTTTAAAAGTACACAGGCTGAAGAGACATGAATTTTAATGACTAATGATTTCACACTTGTACACACAAATTAAATTTCTTTGAGAAATCACCTAGAACAGCACTTGTCTCTAAGATGGCCGGCTAGCAAATTAAGAGTATATTATAAGAGTAAATTTCAAGCTTCATAATCAATGTCTCTATTGCATGCCCCACTTAAAGGGAGTAGAAGAATTGTTATTTTTATATAATTTTCACTCATCTTTCATGTTGAGTAATGACTTCTAATAAGCTAACTAAAGTTCATCAAAAGTTCATATTTTTACACAGTACTGTGTTTAAAGCAAGCAACATACTTGAATCTCAACAATATTTCAAATCAACTTCACGTATGTGGAAAAAAAAAAAAAAAAAGTAACTTATACCTTTGCTGTGCCAGTCTGAGATCCATAGAAAATTTTTACCCCAGCAACATAGACCTCCTTTGCCTGCAGGCTGGCATGTCCATTTACTAGTTTGTCTTCTATTCCTTCAGAAGAAGCAGGATTCCCACTGGACTTTTCACCCTATGAAACAAGTGCTGTGTCACATTCAATCCATTTTCAAAGTGATGTTAACCCCATTCTCCCAAGAGCATTTAAAATTGAAATCCTGTGACCAGGCTCTCAGCATTACACAAATGCAACAGTCAAAGCACCTTAGCCTCTCACACCCAGAGAAACACACAAGTAACTCTGAAAGAGGCCATGCTACAACACACTCATCTCTCACACCAGGGAGATAACAGGATCCAGCTGAACCCAAGAACCTCCCAACTCACACAGGGGAACTTCATTCACCTGTGTGAGGAGATTTTTAAAATCCCTAACAGCCTAATCCCACTCCCATCCTAAAGTCAGTCCAACTTTATCATTAACATCACTGGAAACACAAACGTGAAAACACTGGACACAAGCAGAGTTATTTAATTGAAGTGACAGAGCAACCCAGGCTTACACATTCTCTCAGTAACAAAGTCAGAGGTGTTCTGCTGACATCTGCTCTAACATCAGGGCAATGAGGGTGTTCAGTTACCCACAAACATAAAATAATCCAGACTGAGGATTATAAACATCAGATGAACTAAACTACATTTGGGATTTGTAACAACCTAGGTGAGTCCATAGTGAAGCGACACATTCCACTGCAGCAGTGAGTACCTTTACCCAGCAACTACTCACTTCCACACACAGTGGATTTTTGGGGTCTTCTCAGACAAAGTTCCTTACACGTTCATTTACCTTCTTGGTTTTGGTGGTGGTGAACTGAATGACAATCCAAATGATGATCCCAAAAGCAACAGCAGAATAGATGTAAAGTCTGTGCAGCCATAAGGACACCAGGCAAGTATAGAAGTTCCACGTATCCATCGAGACATCTAAATCTAGATTAAATCACAGCTTTAGCAAGAGGAGATTCCTACAGTATGAATTTAGAATGAGCACATAAGAAATAATCATGCAGTACCCACAATCTCATGCCATTATCTATTCCTCAGGCTTTACAGAAAATAGCTTTTGGCTAAAGACAAAACACTACAATTGAATTAAGATGACTTCACCTCCTTAGAGGTGTGACAGCTGAGTTTCATCTGTGTATCCAGGCTATAATTTTAGACTGTCATAGAGAAACTCTGACTTTTTCTTAGATAAGGCAGGTTCTGTTATCAGGAAGGCAGAAAATACTTGTGCTGTGCAAGTGTCTGAAAGTAAAAAACCCTTGTGAAACATCCACTGTATCATACCGGCCTCAGTTTTGCACAGATCCAACACATGCAGCTCCCTGGAGCTAGAAAGCTCCACTTCAATAGGGAAATCATCTCCACAGAGCTTATTGCTGAACACAACCCATGCTCATACACATTAGACACCACACTGTTTACAACAGCTTTGACCCAAAGTTTCAAGGCCAGACTGAAACATGGATTCAAGTGGAAGGTACTTTTTCAGAATGCTGAGCGAAGTATGATTCAGAACAACTGAGAATTTTCGAATTGGTTCAGAACATTCAGGGTACATCACACTGTATCCAGGAGCGCGCCTGCACAGTGCCTGCAATTACTTACTTCATACAAAACATTCAGGAGCTTAAATAAGGCTTGTTCGTGACACTTATTGACTGAGAAACACAGATGACACCCTCCTACAGTTACCTGCAGTCCTCGTGGATCTTGTTTTTGCAGACAACAGACAAGAGCACAGAAACCAACTATTTCTAAAAGGCAGGGCACGTTGTTATCTTACTTTTCCCCTGAGCTGTTACTTACAGTACCAGATCAAAAGCTTGAGGGGATGCCCCTCACCCTTCCACTAGAAACACCGAACTTTCCAAAAGAAGAGAGCAGAGAGCACCTTGCTGCTGTACCAGCCCCAGTGCTGGCAGCGCACGAAAGCACCAAACCCCTCCATCCAGGGGGGGTCCAGACACCTGCAGGAGCCTGAGCACCCCCCTCCACCTCCCCCCATGCACCCACACACCCCACGCCCCCACACCCCTGTGCCTAGCCCAGTACCTGCCCTTCTGCACCTCTCCAAGCCCACCCCATTTAATCCTTCCTCTGTGCTCACCCCCACCCACGGAACTACCCTCTGTAGGAGCCCCTCACACAGGCCTCCCATGCCCCCCCAACCCCTCAGTAACCACCTCACAGTTATTACTCCCCCCAACACTCACCCACCCACGCACGCATCGCCCCCCCACACCAAACACCCACCCACACACCACACCCCCCCAAACACATCCACCCCCCACCAAACACACACTCACTCACTCACCCACCCACCAGCACTCACACCCCTGTTACCCGCCCCCCCGGGACATCACACCGACCCCCCACTGCCCCAGACCCCCGCGCCCCTCACCAGCAGATTCCCCCCCCACCTCCGGCCATGTGCCACCTCCCTCCTCTTCCGGCCTCTCCCCCACCTCTCCCCGTTTCCCTCCGGACGCCTTTTGCTGCCGCGCGGGGGGGGGGGGGGGCGGGGCCATCACCGCGGCGGCCAATGGCGGGCGGGACCGTCGTGAGCGGCGGCTAATGGGGGCGGGGCCACCGCGGCGGGGCCGGCGGGTGGCGCAGAGGCGGCCGCCGCCATGTCCATCTTCACCCCCACCAACCAGATCCGCCTCACCAACGTGGCCGTAGTGCGGGCGCGGCGCGGCGGCAAGCGCTTCGAGATCGCCTGCTACCGCAACAAGGTCATGGGCTGGCGGAGCGGAGCGTGAGTGGCGGGTGTTCCGCCGGCGGGGCTTGGCCGTGGGGTGGGGGGGGGGAAGAGGCCGCCCGCGTGGGGCCCGGCTGTGGAGCCGCGGAGCTTGCGCGGGGCCCCGCCGCGAAACCCGGGGAGGCGGTGGGGCCTGTGCGGGGCCGGGAAGGGGGATCGCCCCGCGGTGCCACTGCCGTTCCCTGGGGAGCGACGCTCCGGGGGCAGAAGCTTCCAGGCTCCGCTGATTCACCCCTTGGCAGCGGGACTTGTTTCTCCCCGCTGAAAACTCGTGCTCCCTTTCTGACATAGCTGACTTCGCAAGTTACCTAACCCTGCCCTAATCCCCAGGGAGAAAGATCTCGACGAGGTCCTGCAGACACACACGGTGTTTGTCAACGTTTCCAAAGGCCAGGTGGCAAAGAAGGAAGATCTCGTTCAAGCGTTTGGCACGGATGACCAAACAGAAATCTGTAAGATGGTGGGTTTCACACATTTTGCTTTATAAAAGTTTCCAAATGTTTTACATAAGGGTCACACAGACATGGTAGATTGCTTTGTTACTGGAAGGCTTTCGTAGAGTGCAGTGCTGCTGTAGGGGAAAGGGTTGTTTATTTGTTAAGAAATGGGTAGAAAGGAGTAGTACGCCTATGGCATACTCAAGTTTTATATATGCATCCAGCTGAAAAGAGTTCTGAGTGTTCTGTGTAATACACAGCTTCTGTGCACTGATGGAAAAAAGGTTAGCCAGCACTGAAGAGTTTCTCACCTAAGATATATTACTAAAGATGCAGAGAAAGGAAGGGGACAGATGCTTGCTTTGGACAGTTCAACTAAGTGTTAAGAACAGGTTTAATTTCTTAGTCCTTCTTGGTAGGATATGAACTGTGGACTTGTGGGTGGTGAGGATTCAAGCAAACCTGCACTATACTCTTTCTGTATTTTAGTGCTTCTGTGGTGGGTTTTTTGTATGAAGTCTTTCCAGTGATGTCATAATCATGAATGTTATTAATACAGTTTTTCTGTGCTTCACGTCTAACTAAACCATTCAAACAATTATTAAGTTTAGCAAAGTTACTAGAGTTTTCACTCTTTAGTCAAATCTGTGATGCTTATTAACTGATTTCTTTGTTTTTACTGTACAGATTTTATCAAAAGGGGAGCTGCAGGTATCGGACAAAGAACGACACACACAGCTGGAGCAGATGTTTAGAGACATCGCGACTATTGTGGCTGACAAATGTGTGAATCCTGAAACAAAGAGGCCATACACAGTAATCCTTATAGAAAGAGCTATGAAGGATATTCACTATTCTGTCAAACCACACAAGAGCACGAAGCAGCAGGTTAGTTTTCTTGTAAAATCAGCTTCTGCTCAGAGGTTTTGTCTCCAAGTGTAATCTCTCTGTTGGTCCCTCTGTGACTGCTAACAAAGCACTGTGGCCTAAAGCCCACAGAGTGATTACTCAGCCCGCTGGCAATTGAGTGCTGGATACAAGCAGCTTCTGAAGCTCATGCAGTTTGTTTTCCAGCAATTCAGGAAAGGAAGGAAGAAAGACAGAAACTAATTAAAATAGCAACAGTGTGGTGAATTCTCGTGCCCGTGCGCAGCCTGGCCTCATGTCGGTGACAGAGCCAGTCTCAGATGCCAATATGGTGCGCAGAAAGCGCTCGTTTATTAAGCCTCAGTGATACATATTTATCTTGTGTTCCGTACACGCACCGAGCATGCATACTACATGACAATTATAGGCTGCTAATTACATATGTTAGTTTGTGATTGGTGCTGCAGGCCGATCACTGGCTGTTCACGCGCCTTAGCGGATTGGCTGCTCTTTTTCCCGAGTCCGTTGCCAGCTTCTTCTCTAAATGTTGAACCATCACTTTGTTTTCCTTGTGTCCTTGGTTGCCTTGGTGACTCTTACCATAGGTCCTGATATGGCCACTGGGCCACATAAACCCCCACACTTTCCCTTTTCCCTATAATTGAAAAGATACAACGATTTATACAACGAAAGAGGCAACTAAACATGAGAAGGGCACATAAGAGAAGAAGGAACAAACGGAGGCCTTCTTTGATTAGCTGGCTAAGCCAGGTCCAAGACCCCAGCCCGTGAAGAAGCTGTCATATGGTGAGGCGCCTTCTTGAATGTGGTTGATATTTTCCTTTAGCTGAGCTAACTGATTGTGGATACTTACATGATGGTCCGACAAGTTCATGCAGCACATGCCTTTGAACTCCTGGCATCCATGTCCCTGAGCTAATAGGAGGAAATCAATAGCAGCCCTGTTCTGCGAGACTGCATGGTTAATAGAGGTGACATCATTTAAGAGCTGTTCAAGCACAGCTGAGGTGATGTTGCTTTGCTTTACAGACCAGCAGGCTAGGCGTCTTAACTGATTTAAAGCATGTCCCGCTGCAGCACCTGGGATAAGTATAGCTAAGGCCGCATCGACAGCTTTTGAATTTAGTTTAACATCATCACCACAGTTGGAAGCAAAAGCCTGTAAAGAGCGTTTGACTTGAGTCGTGTTAAGCGAAAGCAATTCTCGAAAATGTGGAGCAAACATGGTCAGTTGTCCCAGATAACATGGTCCTCCAATAATGCCTGCCGGGATACCCTGCCAAGCATGACTGCCACATATAAGAAATATATCAGGGGGTAGTACTTTTGCATCACAAGGGGATGGTACCAGACTGTGAATATTGCACTTTGGCCGATCTGTGTGTGTAGCATTAATTTGAGAAGTTCCATTCGGACCTATGTAACGTATTTCCTGAGACCATTGTTGATGCATCCCCATTCTCCGAACATTACATAGCCAGAACCATTAAAGCATTGGGCACTGGGGCTAATGGTAGTGCATATGGCATTGGATGATTGATTCCCAATGTGTGACACATTAGTAGGAGTACCAGGTGCGAAACTACTCGTGATATCTAAAGCAGGAATAGCAATTGGGCTTGTTATGTTAAGTGCTTGAATTAGGGCGGCCTGAATGGAGGACCCTGATATGACTGGCCAATAGTCTGAACAATTGAGAAGATTTTGCCAATGACTGGAGTTATTACAGATGTTGCCTATATATCCTGCAAAATCAGTGTAATTAGCAATGAGCTGCTTTGCAAAAGTGTCATTGCCTTACCAAGCGAGCGGAACGCCAATCAAACAGGTCCTGAAAGGATCGCCTACAGTTTGCAAGCTTAGGCAGAAATCCATATTCCCTGTTTGGTTTGCCCATGTTACCCAGACATTTTTTTCGAGGATCTATGCGCGTGGTTATTGCTAAAGCAACTGTTACACAAGACAGAAGTATTAGTAACAAGGATTTGGATGCCATTGCCAGTGTTGCAAAGCCTGCTCCCAGTTATTGGCTTCAATATTCTGAAAATGTGGCAGTCCTAGGTGTTTCCCACACCAGACTCCCAATACTTACTGTTGCAAAAGAATTTGGTTTAAAATTATCTGATTTGTTTCAAAGAATTTACAATGTTTCATGGCATATGGCGTCAAATCTCCTACTGATTATGAAATTTCTGTCTCAATTACCAGCCTTTCTAACTCAGTACAGGGTAGGCCTAATGCTGTGGCTTCAACTTGACAGGTGAGGTCGAAGTCTGCTTCTACCCAGTCTTATTCCTGGCGTAGTCTTCGCCCTCTGATTCTTGGCTCTTCTGGGTAGTCTCTGGAACGGGTGCTGTAATAGCATCGTTGCATGAAGTATGAATGTCAGCTTTCATCCATTTAGAGGGTATCCACTGTGGTTCTTTCCCCTGTGTTGAAACACAAGCATATCCTCGACCATATGTTAATAACAAATATCCTGATTCCCACAGTTGTGTTTTGGGGTTCCATACTTTTACCTGAGGAGGTTTATTTGGTGTGGTTTCTGTGCGTGCATGTCTTTGTGCTGCAGTGGTGTCATCGCGCACCAAGAGCCAATTGAGCACAAATAGAGTTTTATTCAGAAGTTCTTGGGGCGACAGATCCTTTTCCCCCTCTTTCAATAATGTGAGGTACCGTTTTAATGTGGCGTGTTTTCGTTCCACAATGCTCTGGCTTGTGGAATTATAAGGGGTGCCTAACGTGTGGAGGATGGACCATGTCATACAGAACTGTGATACTTTATTAGAGAGGTAAGCTGGGCCATTGTCTGTACGGATGGTAGCAGGCTTACCCATGGCTGCAGCAGCAGCTCGCCAATGGGCTAGAACATTCTTGGCTGATGCTGTGCTGTGTGCCGTGGCCCATGTGAAACCCAAATCGGTGTCTACCGAAACGTGGATATATTTATAGCGACCGAAAGGGGAGTATTCTGTGACATCTGTTTGCCAGAGGGCGTTTGGCTGTAAACCTCTAGGGTTTACCCCCTCACCCAAAGCAGGAATTCTGGCACACCCAGGACACATGGCGATTGTATCACGAGCTACCTGCAGAGGAATATGAAATTGTTTGACAAGCTATTTAGCAGGCTGGTGAAAAAATTTATGTGATGTCTCAGCTTGAGCCCTGAGGTTTACCTGAGCAGAAGAGACCAATTTATCTGCCTCTGCATTGCCGTGTGTCAGATATCTGGGGGTGTTAGTATGGCTTTGAATATGCATGATATAGAAAGGTGATGATCGAGCATTAATCAAATTCCACAGAGTGAACAATTCCTGAAATAAATTTTTTTATCAATGTATTTTAGAACTGCATGGTGTAAACGAGGAACCAGTGATGCTACGTATTTGGAATCTGTGACAATGTTAATAGGTTGAGAGTGTAATTGTAGTGCTACTCTGACTGCCTGTAATTCCAATACTTGTGCTGAACCTTGACCACATACACGATGCGTCTTTTGCTGTTGAGTTGCTGGATCCGTCCACCAGATGCCTCCCTGACCTGAATGACTGCTGGCATCTGTGAAAACTGTGAGGGCTTTTAGTGGTCTAGAAGAGACAATAGGGATAGGTTCAAAAAGCACTTGTGAAGTGAACAGGTCATAAGGAGGGTAGTGGGAACTGAGTTGAGAGGCACTGTAGGTAACAGCTAGCGCTAGGGTAGAATCAGTCTGTAAGGCTAGCTGTAATATGTCTTCTGACATAGGAATGTAAATGGTGTGGAAGTAATCACCAGACAGGGTAAGGAGCCTCTGGGTGGCTTTACTAATGCATTCTCCTATCAAAGTGAACCGGGTAGTGATTGTTGTTTTACAGGTATGGGGTAAAAAAACCCACTCAATTATTCGGGGAGTTTTCTGGCCTTCATTAGTTTGAAAAATAATACCATATACCTCCTGGTGAATACTGATAATGACAAGGTGAACTGCTCGCTCAAGCAGTATGTGAGATGTGAACTTTTGTGCTGTCATTTCCCAGCTGCTGTAGTAAGCAAGTTACCTTGTGAGAGGGAGTCCTCTCAATGGAGGTACCTTCCTTGTGTTGCAGCAGTGCATAGAGAGGCTCTAGCTGAGTGTTGGAGATGCCTATTAATGGTCGCACCCATTGGAGTGATCCAACTAATTGTTGAACCTCATGGAAGGTGGTAAATGTTGCAGGTATTTTTATGGGCAAGGGTCGGATTTGAGACTCAGAGACTGCCATGCCAAAATACTTCCATGGCATAGTTTTTTGGATTTTTTTCGGGGGCTATTGTCAGTCCCCATTGGCTTAATGTTTCTGCTAATAAGGGAACAAATACTGAAACATCAATGGAATCATGTGCTATCACAATGTCATCCATGTAGTGATAAATAATGTAATTGGGATACTGCAGTCGTATTGGGCGTAATGCTTGATCGACATACCATTGACAAATAGTAGGAGAGTTTTTCATTCCTTGTGGCAGGACAGGCCAGTGGTACCTCTTGTAAGGTTGTCCACGATTTATCAATGGTACAGAGAATGCAAATTTTTCCCAGTCGTCTGGATGCAGTGGGATACTGAAAAAGCAATCCTTCAGATCAACGATCAGTAATTGCCAATTTTCTGGTAACATGGTCGGCATAGGTAATCCAGGTTGTAGAGCACCCATGCTCTCCATAACATTGTTTATGGCATGTAAATCATGTAGTAATCGCCATTTTCCTGATTTTTCCTGGAGAGTAAAAATAGGGGTGTTCCATGGACTAGTGGACTCTTTTATATGGCCCAGTGCCAATTGTTCATTTACCAGATCTTGAATCGCAGCCAATTTGTCTTTTGAAAGGGGCCACTGATCCACCCACACTGGTTGGGTAGTCTTCCACACTAATTTAAGCATGGGTCGCTGCCGATCAGTGGCCCTGATCAAAAAGGCTGCAATCTTACACCCCACTGACTCAGACAGTCCCGCCCCAACAATATGATCTCACAATTAACAACATATGGTCTGACTTTTGCGACTAACCCCTCTTCCCGATCCCGTATTTCAACAAAGCTTTGACTAATTTGTGTAGGTTGATTTCCCCCTATGCCCTGGATGGCAGTGAATGCTGCTTGAACTGGCCACTGTTTTGGCCATACACCTTGTGGGATGATTGTAACATCTGCTCCTGTGTCAATAGGGCAAGTCAAGCTCAGAACAATGTCCTCAGGCCCAGAGATCTCCACTGTCCTCATGGGCCGCTGCAGGCCTATTTGCTGAACAAAGGCAATTTGGGGATCTGTGCAACCGAATCCTCCCAGTCCCCTTCTCTTAGGACAGGCGTTTCAAACCTGGGCTTGGAATGGAATTAACTGAGCGATCGGAGTCCCGGCCGTGATTGTTAGTGGTGGTGCTGTGGTCCTGATCATGATGCATATGGTCCCTGTGAAGTCCGCGTCGATAACTCCGGGGAGAACAATCAGTCCTTGCTTTGTAGCCGATGAGCGTCCAAGCAATAGAGCGCTCATTCCGTAACCGATAGGTCCTTGTTCGCTGATGGAATTACTTGTATTTGAGAATTTGTGAGCGTCACATCCGACACGATCTTCACCTCCAGTCCGGCACTCCCAGCAGTGGCTGCTCGGAGGCGGTTGGGAACGGTGTCACCGGCCGTGCTTGTACCATCGCGCCCTGCCAGGCGCTCGCGTTCCGGTTTCCCGGCAGCAGTTGACCGGTCTTGTGGAATTTAGAATGGCAATCCTTTTGCTTGTGGCCAAATTTGCCACAGCGCCCGCATTTACCGGCAAATCCCGACGCCTCAGCACGTGAAGTATTGACAGGTGATGAATAAGTGGTTGCTGCATTCTGTTTTGGGCGCTGTCGCTTAAAGTGACCTGGCTTCCCACAATTGAAACAAGTGGCTGCTGGCATTCTTCTCGTAACTCCTACTCCTCCCACTACTCTCGAGCCTCTGTCCCCCCTTCCCCGTTGTAAGAAAGGGCGAAGTGCGGCTGTCATTGCTGAAGCCTGAACTTGGGCGGCTTGTTGCAAGTGAATCTGAGCGCAACGCTCGATCATTTCCACCAGTGTGGCATGTGGTAACGTGGATTGTATGGCTCTTTTGCAGTCACTCGAGCAGTTTGGCATGGCTAGATCTCTAGTGACGGCTGCTTTTGCTTCTTGTGACAAATTTGGGGCAGCTTCGATAGCCTGACAGAGACGAGACACAGAGGCAAATGATTCTTCAGGGCCCTGTGTTATTTTTCCATACTCTGGCTGTGGGGACAACACCTGTGGGGTGGTTTTAATAGTCCCTTCTAGGATTCCGTTTGTAATTACGGCTTGCCACTTGTGTGAGCCATTATAGGTTGGGTCTGATGGGGGCAGTGTGGGCTTATTTTTTGGCACTGTTGTCCTGTCCGGCTTTTCAGGGGACTGCTGTTCCATTAGTCATCTTACTTTTTGCAGATGCTTTCCCCTTTTTATGTCATCCTCATTTTCCTGTAGCCAATTTATATGTAGAGGGTGTCGGTCCAATCCCCTCTCTATTACTTCTTTTTTTATATTTCTCTGGGAAGACTGGCTTAGGTTCCCATTCTAATGAATTCTGCCAGCATTTGAGCCATTTAACATCATATTCTGGTGTGCGCTTTGGTGGGATCCCTGAGGGGGTCAGTCCCATTCCCAACTTATTATCATCATTTAAATCAATTAAGTCAGGCATATTAGTGTCTTCGTCCTCAGAGCTATAAACAGGCACCGATTTTTTAGCCTTGTTTCTTGACAGGTTAGGACGTGCTCTGGGGTCTTGTTCATCGTCACTGAGTGGTAATGGGATATCTTGTGGCTGTAACTTAGGTTGCAGCAGTCTCAGCATATGCAGGAGTTGCTCATTTTGCTTTTTAAGTGCCTGATTGATGTCACAGTCCTTCCCTAAGTTACTCGTTTCGTCTACCTCCATTTTTTCAGTGTCGATAATCAGGGGAGCCGTTGGGATAACCGGATCTAGGCTCCAAGGGATGAATCTTGTCCCCCTGTGAGCTGGAAAACTGTCCTTTGCGGCCCTCTCAGAGCACTGTCAGGAATGCATGGGGAATGTACCGCCAACATTGTACCCTCTCGCATGGTTCTTTGGCTCAGGTACAGAGAGTTTTCATCCGCCCTTAGATTTTGAGCCTCTGTTTTAGCCATGCCTTTACGTCCGCGGCCATTGGTAATGGGCTCATCATCTGTACCTTCCTCATTTCTATCAGAATTTTCTCCAATTTCGTCCTCTGTGTCCGAGTCAGGGTTATTTTTGGTAGTTAACGTGAGTAAAGCGTGCCTAGTGTCTTGATCGACAGCCAGTTGTTCAAGGGCATTTCTACAAGTTTTCCATGTTTGTGCTAATCGTCCTGCCTGTTTGTTCCCATCCGAATAGCTTTCCCAAATATCCTGGCCTAGTTTGTCCCAGACACTGAGAGCAAAAGCCTGATCAGTATTTTGCAAAATGTTCTTGCGCTGACCCCACTGCAAAAGTTCTGCTAACGTTCTTTTATTTACTGGGGTTTTTGCGCGTTTGGTGACTTCCTTTAAAGCAGAGAAAGCAGCCTTCTCCTGAGCTGATGCAGCTACTCCCATGGTTGCCTCCTTCTTATGTTCTCCTGGGCCCAGTATTTCACATGCAACCGTATCACCCACCGACTTTTTCCTCGCGCAGGGCTTACCTGGTTCAGTGGCTTGAGATCAGTGAGATCCCGGACGAGCCCCCAGATGTGGTGAATTCTCGTGCCCGTGCACAGCCTGGCCTCATGTCAGTGACAGAGCCAGTCTCAGATGCCAATATGGTGCGCAGAAAGCGCTCGTTTATTAAGCCTCAGTGATACATATTTATCTTGTGTTCCGTACACGCGCCGAGCATGCATACTACATGACAATTATAGGCTACTAATTACATATGTTAGTTTGTGATTGGTGCTGCAGGCCGATCACTGGCTGTTCACGCACCTTAGCGGATTGGCTGCTCTTTTTCCCGAGTCCGTTGCCAGCTTCTTCTCTAAATGTTGAACCATCACTTTGTTTTCCTTGTGTCCTTGGTTGCCTTGGTGACTCTTACCATAGGTCCTGATGTGGCCACTGGGCCACATAAACCCCCCCACAACAGTAATATGCGTGGAACAGAAAGAAAAGCTTTATCATTTATTTTAATTGAGGTAGTAAATCAGGCTTTGCATCTGAGCCACCTGGGTTTCTGGTTTTTTTTTGGTATAACTGCTATTTGACATTATTTCTGACAGGGGTTTTAAGTACTTGAAGTGATCACAAACAGCAAGAACTCTGTCTTTTCTTGTTAATCTGTCAAAATAGTGTAATAGCAAACTCCCTGCAGCAGAGTGGCAGTGATCAGTACTGAGAAATGTATCTGAAGCTAACGCAAAGGATTTCAAATTTTGGTCTGTGTGGTGTTTTTTAAGCAGGTATGTAAATGCTCTTTCTTCTTAATGTCTTTACAGGCACTGGAAGTGATCAGACAGTTAAAAGAGACCATGCAAATTGAACGTGCTCACATGAGGCTGCGATTTATTCTTCCAGCAAAGGAGGGGAAGAAACTGAAAGAGAAGCTCAAGCCACTGATAAAAGTTATTGAGAGCGAAGATTTTCATGAACAGTTTGAAATTGTAAGCAGTACAGCAGTTCTTGGGTTTCATACTTGGTTTGACTACACCTGTACATTTTACTAGATTAATGAACGTACAGAAGTTGTTTAGATAAACTGCAAGTTTACCAGAGATTCTTAATCAGAGGTGTAGTTTGTAGTTTTCAATTTCACACGATGCTAGTGATATAAGCTTGAGGGTGGCCTTCGTTATACAGAGATTGCTGCTTCAAGCTGAGAAGCACAGTGTAATTTATTTTAGCACTGATTATCCTACAATACTGCTAAGTTTCTCTTCATGTATGGGATGTTACTCTTACTTATTCGGTGGGTCAGGCCTGCATTTTGATGGTGGTTAATTGCTTTACCACAGACTATTTAGAAAAAAAAAATAAAATTTGTTATTAGTAAAATTCTTTCTGAGAACAGATTAGAATCTAGCAATCCCGTCAGAAGACATGTCCAGCATGGGTAAATGAAACATTGTTATTTTTTTAATTAAAATTAATGCTAGACCTGGAAAAGGGGCTGATGAAAATCAAATATTATTGCTTGACTGATTGAATCTGAAATGTTCCAGGTGTGCCTTATTGACCCGGGCTGCTTCAGAGAGATTGATGAGCTGATCCGGAGTGAGACAAAAGGGAAAGGAACACTGGAAGTGCTCAGCCTGAAAGATGTGGAAGAAGGAGATGAAAAGCTTGAATAATGAAAACCTTCCTGCAGCAGTTCTACTTTAACAACATGCTATGAAGCGACTGGCATTAGCCACTCTCCTCTGTTAGGCCTTCATGTTTTTTCCAATCTCTTGCTGCCAAATATTTTCTGACACTAATCCTTTGAGATTTTTCCATGCAGTGCGTTGGGGGTTTTTTATCATTTTACACTTGCTTGGTTTACAGATGTCTTTGCCTGTAGGAACATTTTGTGTCAGAGTTGCACTAAGGAGGATTGAGTTAAGACATGATACAGAAGTTACTCTAGCTTTGGTTTACTTTAAAGTTTGCTATTGAAGAGTGTTTGACTGATACAGTGCCAATCATTTTTACTTTAAGTTGTCAGTGTTGAGTGGAAGATTGCGTAGGTCATTGAGAGGTGGGTTTTGTATGTGAGGAAAGGAACCTTAAGAGAGCTGCATTTTCACTTCTAAACAGGTGCAAATTGTGCATCATGTCTAAAAACTAATCTCTTGGCAGCATGAAAACTGATTTAGACTTCCATAATTGGCTGCTTGACAATTAGAGTACTTTAAAGGACCATTCTTAAAAGATTCCCTTCACTGGATATAACAGTACTTGCTGACTTAGAAACAATGTTCTCCAAATAACTTATTCATAAAATATATTTAGCTATATTAATAAAAATTAATTATCTATTTATATATTATAGATACAGAAAGAAATAAATTATTTTTGTTAATAGTATAGGAGGTATCTCTGGCTGTGGCAATGCTTTCTGTAGGCTGCAGGGGTGGGGTAGCCTGCACTGGTGAACAGTTCTCGTTCACAGGATAAAATGAATCTCAAACAGGCAGTGGTGGCCCCTGGCCTCAAGCTAGGCAGGCTTTTGTTGGACCATAATTCCCTAGCAGTAACTGTTTGTGTGTGCCCCTTTTTAGTGCGATAGAGAACAATTCTGGCAGCTGTCCTTTATCCTCTGTCTTTTTAATCCATACACAGAATTTCCAGCCAGCTCCTGAGGCACGTTATATACTCAATAATTCTGTTAAATCTTGTTTCAGCTGTGTTAAAGAAATACTTTTAATTTGAAGTTGTGTATTTCAAAGAAGAGGGGAAGAGGACAACAACTGGAGAAAGGAGATACTAAAAATAGAGATCATCAAGCAAAGCATGTTTGCTTGGGTGACTAAAAGCTAAACCAGCAGGAACTTAAGAAGCCTTTGGTATTACGTACCTGTTTCCATGCTGATGGTACGCAGCAGGTCAGGAGCTGCAGGCTAGCCCACAGCTAGATCTCTCCAGATGAGCCTGTGTTGTGTTCACTGTTTGCTGTTTACTTTTCGAGTGCATGACACTGCCTGTTACGTGACAACTAAACAGAACTCTGGTTTGTACTCTTGACACGACCTTTTCCTTTGCACCATTAACAAGTTGTGAATTTTCTAGAATTTAAGCAGAGGGAGTGGAAGTCAGCTGGAGGAGGAAAGGTTTAACGTGTTGGGTGCAGAGGGCCTGCAGGACTAGATCCTTAGTCAAAGGCTTCCTTGTGGAAGCTGATTTCTGCAGCAGTCTATTGACATGAACTTGTGCAAGGTTGGGTTAAATCTCGTTAGTAATATTTTGGAAGGACTTGGACACTATAGGAGTTTTGCTGAGGGCCAGTGAAATGATGATTCTGGAACCATTTTATCCATTTTGAAATGCTTTCTCTTGCCACCAGGGTAATCTTCCGTGATGTTTAAATGCTGCCTAGGAAAGTTTAGTGGCATAATTACTATATTGGCCACGTGGACACAGCCTCGATGTGGAGACCTCTACATGCATGGACAGACAGATTGGCAGGATTCCTCATGTGTACAAACCCTTAACTGCTTCTTTTTCAAATGGCCATCTCTTCATGTGTACTTTATGAAGCACTGGAGGTGATAATGTTGATATTTAGCTTGTCACTGGCAATTAGCACTAACATGCAGTTCATAAGTTTGCAGATGTGGACCCTCAGATGATATTGTGTCAGTAATACTTGATCTCACAATCCTATAATTTCTCGTTTCTACATTCATCACCTAGAGCACGATAGGATGGCTGCAAGTTAAAGATCTTGAGTTACAGAAACTTAATCTAAGCTGATGTATGAACCTGGTGCTAGGAAGGCAATTTCCTTATGAAGTCTTTTTCTGCAAATCAAACATTAAGGATTTTCTCTGGTAGAGGGAGCTCGGTTTTATTTATCAACAGATAAATGTACATGTTTGCAGTTCTTGTCATATTTATAGTTCAGCAAGAATGTATACTAAGCATCAAAATAAATATCAGTATTGGTAGCTAGTTCTTGCCTGTTTCAGTGGGAGCGTAACTGTAACAACTGTTCCCTGACTAATTAACTGAAATTTCTGAAGGTACTTACCTAGGTAGTAATAGGTGCCTCTCACCATTTCAGATAAGCTGGCAGCCTGTTTGGGATATGTGTACACCTATTTTCCCTGAAATTGTCCTGGCCCTGTTTCGGGCGGGGCTCGGGGGGGGCTCCCCTGGCTGGGCGGGTTGCAACCGCAGTAGCCAAGGTGATGGGAAACAGAGCGGGGATCCCTGCCGCCCACCCTGCCTTTTGGAGAGCTCAGTAATCGGTTATTAATTAACCTGTTGGCTGCGGGAGCGAGGGGCCGGGGCTGCGGGCGGGTGACGTTCGGGCCGGAGGCTGAACTGATGGCGGTTGGGAGGTGCCCCGGCGACGGTTCGGCGGGGAGCTGGGCGCTGTCGGTGGGTGCTGCCTGGTGACACGTGTGTGTGTGTGTGTGTGTGTCCCCGCCAGCCCCGAGGAGCCACCATGGCTGCGGGGCACAAGGGCCAAGGCGGCAGCGCCGGCTCCGTGCGGGGCAGGAAGGCAAATCTCAGCCAGCGCGTCCGGGAGCTGCGTGCCACCATCGCCTTGCAAGGTGCTGCCCCTCCGGCTTCGCAGGGGAAGGGGGGGGGGGGTCTCTTGGTCCCCTCACTGCCCTGTGTGGTACCAACGCCACCTTAATGTCCTCCAGAGCAAGGGAGGAAGTTCTTCAAGCGGTCATGCGAGGAAAAGCTCAGTCAGAACAGGGAGCTGCTCCCCCGCCTGCGAGAGGCCGTGCAGGACATCCACGCCCTGAGCGTCGTCCAGAAGGTACCGGCCGGTCTCATCTGCAGAGCCAGCTCCCCCGCAGCTCCTCTCCGGGAGCAGGCAGCGATGGGATGTGACCACCCCCAGGCTGGCAGTGATGTCCTTTTTGCTCCTCTCCTGCCCACAGTGCAGCAAGCTCACCTTCTCCGAGGTTTGTGGAGCGCAGGCGGCCTTGGACGGTGCTTTGGCCAGGAGGACGGTGGAGGTAACGGCAGGGTCCGGCAGGCTGGGGCTCCGGGGACGCTCGGATGAACAGGGTGCACGGCAGAGGGACTGGGTGCCAGCACAAAGACGGCCCCACAAGGCTGATGCAGCGAGACGCGGGGCGTTCGTGTGGTCCCATGGGTCCCTTTCCACCGCGGGACCCACCCATGCAGGGCCCTGAGCAGATCCTTTGCCCCAGCAGAGCTCCTGGCCATCCCGCCCTGCATGTCCCCGGGTTCCTGTAAGGTCCAGCTGCATCCCTGGAGGAGAGATGCTGTCTGTGCCCTTCACTGCCTGTCCCAAGGTTATGTCCTGGTTATAAACCTGTGGAGATAAGAGGCGCTGGCCCCTCAGAGCTGCCTTTGCCCCGGGGCCTCTTGCAGGGACAGAGCGGTGCCGCTGCTCCCTGCCAGCAGCCACATCTGGGGCACTGATCGATTTTATCGACCCCCAGCCCCGGGTCTGTATTATGCAAAGTCCCTAAGCCCAACCCACCACTCCCATCAGCAGATGCCTACCTCTGCCTTACCCCAACCAGCCCCCCAGAACAAAATTCTCCCAGACCCCATCATGCCGAGGGAGTGACGGGGTCTCAGAGCAACATCCCAGCATCCCTGGCTCTACCTTGGGGGGGGCGTTTCTTCTCCTGCGGGTGCCCAACAAGCCCTTCCTCCAGCCTAACGAGTGCTCACATGCCCATCCAGGTGGCTCGGGAGAAGCTCCAGGCCGAAATCTATGACCGGGTGAACACGTGCAACATGCTGCTGCACCAGGTGAGGCAGCGGAGCCAAGCCCGGGACGAGCTGGAGAAGCGGCTGCAACAGCTCCAGAGTGTCAGGATGGATGACAAGCGGCACCAGGCGCAGGTGCAGGTACCCAGGACCCTTTCCTGGGGTGGCAGCACCCGCGGGGGGCTTTAATCCAACCCCTGCACCCCCTGGGTGGGTGCTGGGCTTGGCATGCGGGGTCACCCTGTGACACCCCCCCACACCCCCCCCTCCCATTGCTGCCCCAGGTTGTTCACCAGCTGGAGAACAACATTGAGAAGATGCTTATGAAAGTCCACACTGGACAGAAGGTGACCGCCCTGTACCTGGCAGTGCAGGATGTCCTGAGGAAGGTGAGCTCATCCTCACTGTGCCACTGCCCCACCTGCTTCTCCCGCAAAGGTGTCCAAGGGGCTGCACTGGTGGGACGTCCTCCTGGATCAGTGAGATCTTCCTGCTTCCCTCCATCCCCTGTCACAGGGCGGGGGACCCCTGGGCTCGGTGGGGTGACGTGCTGTGACTCCCTGTGTCCCAGGAGCTGGCCCACCTGCCTCTGCACCTGGACCTCCTGTGTGGGATGGCTGAGTTGTACCATGGGGAGCTGGAAGACATGGAGCTCATGGCTGCGGATGCCCTCAAAGCTGCTGATGTAACCAAGGTGAGGTGGTTCGGGGCACCTTGGAGCCCTTTCCTACCCTCCAGAGCCCACAGATGACACCACATGCCCGGGCTGGTGAGTCTTCCTGCAAAAGAGACTGAGCTGGGCTTCACCACAGCACCCAGATGCCTCTATAACTCCTCCTGGGTCTCACTCTTGGGCCAGGCTGCCCTGGGGATGGAGGCAGCCTGCCCGAAGCACCAGCCACAGTGAAGGCAGCACGCTCCATCCTCCATCCCTCCTTGGCCACTTTCCTTCCTTGCCAAGGGGGAGGGGGGTGTCATTTTTGACACTGGCCATCCCAGAAGCTCAGCTGGCTCACAAAGGTCCATCCTGGCTTTGGCAGCCACTTCTCCCTTCTCTGATCTGCTCCAGGAGGACATGGACAAGATGGAAACCCAGTTCCTTGCAGAGAGAGAGTTCAGGTACCACTCCCTGGCCGCACAGAAGGTGCACATCGACAGACTCTGGCACAAGGAAGCAAGAGAAAGGCATCTGAAAGCGGTGAGCTGGGGGGACCCGGCACAGGCAGGGCTGCGGGCAGATGTCAGGCAGCAGTGCCAAGCCCTCCGGGGGTGGGGGGGGGGCGCAGGGCCAGCTCCCCCAGGGTGCCAGCAGCTCGGGGGGGTGACGACGAACATCCTTGCAGCAAGCCAGACACGAGCTCGCCATGGACTTCTCAACCCTGCACCCGCAGGATCCGCTGGTGGGTGAGTGCCTGGCGGGGCGCAGGGGGGTGGGACGTGGGTGCAGCTGCAGGCATCCTTCCCTGCCCCTTCCCTCCCACCCCAGGCACCAAACTGGAGGCCACCAAGTCCCAGAGGGAGTGTGAGGCCTGGGTGACCGAGAAGATGGAGAAGGCCAAGGCTGCGGTGCCGTGCTCCCACCTCTGGGTAACCTAAAAACCCGTCTCCATTAAAACCCAGGGCTGCTCAAGCCCTGGGGAGCTGCTACCTCTCATCTCACCTTGTTTCGTTGCGGGGTTATCGTTGCTCCCCTCTTCCCCTGGAGCTCCCCAAAGCCCTCATTGTGCAGGCAGGGATGAAGTTGCTTTTTTTCCATGACACGATCTTTTAGTCGTTCATGGTGCAGAAACCTCCCCGAGGCCACAGCCTGGATCCTGTAGCCTGCAGGGGTGCCGTGGGCTGAGTCCTCGTGCTCTCCTCCGGCCAGGACATCGCTGGCAGGTTCCTGGCACAGCAGAAGTCCTCAGTGGACCTGGAGCAGTATCTCAAGGAGTGCAAGGAGAAGAAGCAGGTGCTGAAGGAAACGCTGAAGAAGCTGGAGCTGAAGCAGGCTGAGCTGAAGTTTCAACAGCCCCCCAGCACAATCGGGTACTGCTGGCCTTGGGACAGTCATGCCAATGAGGCCACTACCCCTGAGGGGGGACATGTGCATCATGGGTGTCCCAACAGGGCACCCCTTCCTCCGTCACACTGCAGCCACCCAGCCCTCCTGCACCAGGACGTTTTCTGAGCAGAGTGCTCCCCCAGGCCTGGTCCTGGCAGAGCACCCAAAGCTGTGGCAGCAGGAGGACCCTTGCTCCTTGCCTGGCGTGGGAAGTGGTACCAGCAGCATGGAGCTGGGTTACAGGCAGCATCTCTGCTCTGCAGTTCTGGGGGGAGGGAGGACAACCTGAGCAGCTTTTGCAATAGATTTGGAGTGTCTCTGCACCCCTATGCAGTCGTATGGATTTGTATGTGGTTGGCTCCAGGATGCTGGAGGAGGACCTGAGGATGAGCCTGCAGTGCGAAGAGGCTCGGCTGGAGAAGATGCGAGCCCAGATGCTGAGGAACCAGGAGCTCCTGCTTGAGTTTGAAAATGGCATCGATAACCTCTTTGTCCGTCTGCACGGCATCACCGTGCCCGGCCAGGTACCCGTGCAACGCTGGGGTGAGCACAGCCCCGGCCGGTGCTTGGTGGTGCAATGGCACAGCACAGTGACACCTGGTGCAGCCACTGTCACCACAAGCGGCTCATTTTCCCCACCAAGGTGGTTGTTCTCTCCAATTCCAGGACGATTCTGTCAAGGCTGAGGGGGTGAAGGAGAAGCTCCAGAACTGTGAGCAGAAGCTGCAGTACCTGGTGCAGCGGGTGGCTGACCTGCCCCCCGACAGCCGCAGCCTCGACGAGGACAATGAGGTGCACGGGGGCTCCATCTCTGCTATGGTCTTTGGGGACACAGAGCTCTCCCAGATGACCCATCCCAAACCATCCTTCCAGCTGGGAAGGTGGAGATGGCCCCAGGGAGGAGCCGTGGAGCAGCTCAACCCCAAGTGGCACTGGGCGCTATGGGGTGTCCCCCCAAGGGGGACATCGGGGTGGGGCACCCCTTGTGTTGTAACACCCACTTCCCCTTCAGCAATTAACCCAAGGTGTCTTTCACAGACTTTTGTGAAGGTCAGAAATTTTCTGGAGAAAGCAATCACAGATGATCCGCAGAACCTGAAGATTTCCTTGGAGGACATAGACAGTAAGGTCCAAAGTAGGAGAGCACATCGGGGACACATCCCACAGCAACTGTCCCAGCCCCTGCCACTGGGATTTCTGGGCATCCTTGCCTGTTTCCCACTGTCCCATCAGACCCCAACCCATTAGTTGCCTCCAGACCTTGGGGCTGACCTTGGCTGTCTCCAAGGCTTTGAGCGTGGGTGGTAGTTTCAGGTGGGGATACGGGAGAATGAAGGCAGCCGGTGGGGTGGCGAGTGTTGTACCACAGCAGAAACATGGAGAGAGGCTGTGGGGCAAGGAGGGAGACCCTTGTCTTCAAAATTACCTGGTTGTTAAGAAGAACCCGTGCTTGCCTCTACCTGTGGCCTTCTCTTATTGGATGCTCTTGGAGGAGACAATGATCTTTTGGCTGCTTAATGCCTTTTTTTAACAAAGCGGGAGCTGTACCCACCACTCTGAAGCTCCAGACCTTTTTTGGAAGCCCCAGCAGCGTTGAAGATGGGCCACAGCAGTGGCAGCACCAGGTCCTGCAGGTCACCCTGTGATACTGGGGTGGAATGCTGCGCGGTGCCTGTGCCCAAGGGTCTGGCACGAGGGTTCTCTGGGATGCCACCAGCCCTCCAAAACATGCCAGCTCTCCCTGGGGACACAGACACAGCAGAGATGGCCCCGCAGACCCTCCCCAGCCTTCTCCTATTCTCTCTCTCCTCCAGACCCATTTGATTTTGCTGACAAAGACCATGGCCTTGTCCTCACCCGGGAAGACATCAAGAAGCAGGGGCTGCACCTGATCGAAAGCAACAAAAAAAGTGGCAAGAAGAAGTAGCAGTTGCTCCACCAGAGCTTTGGATGCCCCAGACCACCTGTTGTACCCTTTTTCCAGCAAGTTTAACAGAGCAGATCTTTTTAATTCCTCCCAAGCCTGTGGTAAAGCTGGAATGGGGGTTGCTAGGTCTCTTCTGTCCCCCAGAACGCATGGGGGTCAAACCCTGAGGGATGCTGAGATGGGTTTGGAGGCAGCCCCATCCCCCTGCCCCTCTCCCACCTGCTCTCCCCGCAGAGGTGGGGACAACTTTCCTGGCCAGAGCAAAGCAGGGGCCAGACTGGCTATCTTCCCCCTTAGTCCTATGGGCCCAACACCTTCCTGGGACCTCTGCCCCCCCAGGCAGCTCTGGGACCCCAATGGGTTGGTGTCTGTGTGATGCAGCTATGGGGGAATGTGGGGCAGGGGCTGAGATGTGTATGGGTATCAGACCTCAGGGTGGGTGTCTGTGTCCACGTGTGGGAGCAGAAGGGCAGAGCCAAATCCGAGATGAAGGCCCTAGCCTGGGGCTGTCTGACCTGGTGCGGAGCTTTCATGCTTCTTCCCTCCCCTGGTCCCCGCACGCACGTTGAGCAACTCATACTCGTAACCCTAAACTCAGAGCAAACATCAGGGATTACCTTTGGGCTGCAGGGAGGTGCATGGAGGAGGTAAGGTCTAACCCAACATGACCTGGGACAGCAGAGGATACTACACCATGTCTCTGGCTCCAGGATGGGATCCCCAGCCCTGCTGATGGGTCACAGACACCCAACCATGGAGGCCACGGTGTCTTCTCTACAAAGGCACTCGTAAAAAAACGCTGCACTTAGATGGTGCTGTTTCTCCAAGCACAGCCGACACCAAGGGCTACTGCCCGGGCCCTGAAGTCTGAGCTGGAGACCCAGGGGAGTGGTAGCTCATCCACTTCTACAGGAGAACATCAGCATCAGACCAAGCTTTCACTGGCATTTCTACTTGGTCCGTGTACTTCATGCTGACCTCACTTGTGACATCATCATTGGGGGGAAGGAACAGCTCTTTATGCCAAGCCTCTTCACAGACTAATATTCTTGGTGGGTTTTGTGTAACTACAGCACAACTTGTGTTTTTTAAAGAGAAGCTCCAGAAATAGCATAACATGCCAGTGAAAAACATCTAACTGAGCTTCCCAGAATAGATAGCCATATAGATGGGCTCTCCTGCAATTAGAGACCATGCTATAATTACACCCATCCATCTCCTATCCCTGGAGCAGGGCTGAGTTGAAGGTGGGGGGTAGAGGTGCTCAGGCACAGGGAGCAGAGGGGGACCAGATAGGAGCAAAGCCCTGCAGAGGGGAACAGAGCTGGCTGGGGTATGAGGGCAAAGAGGAATGGGGGGCACCTGGGCAGGGATAAGGGGGTGAGCAGAGAGTGCCAGCAGAGGGGAGCACAGGAGCTGGTGATATTTAGGATCAGACAGACTGGAAGGAGGATGTGCAAGGGAACAGGGATGAGGAGAATCTACAGTGCACGGAGGGGGGGCACAGGGAACTGGGGGTGCCACCAGGGTGGGGGGGGAAGGCTGGGTTTTCAGTCATGTGTATCCCCCACACCATCCGCAGGCTTCCTACCTGTAGGGTGAACAGTAGGGCTCATAGGGTCCTCTGCATTGCAAACGAGCTGGGGGCTGTGGGTGGCCCCAGCGCTCCAGGGCAGCAAGCAGAGCCGTGGCAGCAGCAGGTCCCGGTGAACATCCAGCAACCAGTGGGTGGAAGTAAAACAACACCCAAGGGGAAGCCAGGAAACCCCCGGAGCAAGTGAGTGAGCACAGAGGACAGGGCTGGGCCAAGCACACCCATGGCACAGGGGCTGCTGAGCTTAAATGGGGTGTCAAGGGTGTGGGTGGGGGCCAGGTGAGGCTGCTTAGAATGATTAAGGCATCAGGGACAGGGAAGCTTATGGAAGGGGGGATAAGGTGGGGGGCTCTGAGGCCTTGGGGGTGCCTGAGGATGTGCTTCCCCCAGCACCCTGCAGGCCAGCCATGCAAGGGGACAGGTACAGCCCTATGCCACACACATGACAGCTGCTGCTGGGTGCTGTGACAGGGGACCCAGGATCATCCCAACACACTGCCCTGGGCTGGGACCAAGCCTGCACAAGTGCAGGTGCCCTCCCAAACTGGCCCCCACTCCTGTGCACCCGCCCCCCACTTGCTGACATGCCTGGCCAGGCACAGCAGGGATGGGCTGTGCCGCGATCTGATGGTCACAGCGGGGTTCGGGGGGCCCCAAGGAGAGCCATTGAGCACCCCACCCTGTGCTGGCTGATCGGTCCAGGAGGGCTGTGTAGAGGCTAGTGGGGTGCAGGAGGGGTTGGGGGGCAGAAAGGAGGATAGCAGGGTGCAGGGAGGAGAGTAGCGGGGTGCAGAGGCATAGCAGGGGGCAGAGGGGAGGATAGAGGGGTGCAGAAGGTGATAGCAGGGTGCAGGGGGGAATAACGAAGTGCAGGAGGATGATGCCTACTCGAAAGCAGGTAGAGACGCAGCTCATCAATCCCAGTGCCACTCTGCCCACCTCACCTAACTCTTCACCCTGCCAGCTCCTGGTAGAGGCAAACTGGGGCATTTGTACTCAGAGGGGAGGCCCAGCCTAGCCAAGTGCCCACGGTGTCTCCCAGCAGAGCTCACCCCACTGTGAGGGACACGAGGATGCCCGGGGGTAGCACTGGGAGGGCAATCCCATCCCCTGGCTTGGGGTCCCTACTCTGCCCCTCCCAGTTCCCATCACAGCCCCAACACCAACAGGGGCCACGGGACCCCAAGGCAGCGCGTGGGAGGGAGACAGGGGGGACCTCATCCTTGTGTCCCCCCTCATCCCCAGAGCTGGGTCCCACAGGGCTCTCCCATCCCAAGCCAGGTGCCCCCGTGGCTGCAGCACAACCCCCCCCAACATCTGGTTTGAGCCTTTGCCAGGGAAAAGGGAGCCAGGAGCAAGAGCCACCGTCCACCCCCATCCTCACCTGCTCGGGAACGTGGGGTGCCCACCACCCATGCGGAAGCGACTCAGGGTTGCAGACAAGCCGGGTCAGCTGTATTTATTGAGAACGGTTGTGGAGGGATAAAAATATTTCCACTAGCTCTATAAGAATTTATAAACCTATACTCTGCTTATCCTTTAATAAATGCCTCTATGACCGTCATGCGAAGGTAGGTACTTCTGTAAGAAAATAGCAAGATTAAAAAAAGGAAAGCGCTAATACACCCTGCAGGGCCCTGCCCGTGGGCTCCCTGCCCGCAGGGGCCAAGGGACCCTCCGGCTGGCACGGGGACACGGGTGGCACATGCCGGACACTGCCCCAGCGCCCTGCAGCACCCACCCCGAGCCTCGGCCAGATGCAGCCCCCATCAGCTGAGCCACCTGGATGCAAATCCCTCGCCCAGGGGTGGGTGAACCCACCTGGGGGAACCCAGCTCAGGTGGTCCTGCCAGGGACAGGGAGCACCCCTGTGCCAGCAAGCTCCCAGTGATCCCACTGCTCCCAGTTCTCCTTCCACCCTGCAGCCTTGCTGTCCCCTTTCATCCTTCCCTGTCCCTGGGGACAGGGAGCTGGAGAGGGATTTGGGTCCATCTCCCCAGGGACGCCCTGTGGCCACTGGCCAGGAGGTGTAGGCCAGGGCTCGCCCCAGAAACACGCAGCAGTACTTTGTTGGGAAGCAACACAGATGGGGACACCCTGGGGGGACACAGAGACACAATGCAGTGCTCTGCAGGGCAGTAACATGGATGGGGACAGCCTGAGGGGACACAGGGCCACTACCATAGTAGTCTGCAGGAAAGCAACATGGGTGGGGACAGTCTGAGGGGAACACGCTGCAGTGCTCTGGGGGCAGCAGCACTGATGGGGACACACTGCTGTGCTTTGCTGGGAAACAACATGGATGGGGACATCCTTGGGGGGCACAGACTGATGCTCTGCCATGAAGCAGCAGGAACAGGGACATCCTGGGGACACACAGAGACACCATAGACAAGCAAGTGGCACCAGGGGCTGAAATGCCAGCGAGGGATGTTGCAGTTGCCAGGAGTCGGGAAGCACTGGGGACAGAGGAGAGTTGTTATTGCTTTAGAGGGCAAACATCAAGTGGTGGCCAGGCTGGGGCCCCAGCCTCTGATTTGGGGTTCAAGGGACTTTCTCCAGGGACTGTGATTCCCAGATGCTCCCCCTGCCATGGCCCTCCCCAGGGGCGATGCTCGGTGGGGACAGGGTCCCTGCTGAGGACACAGGGCTGGAAACCACTGAGCTTCAGTCCCTCCTCACCACGGAGGGAGTAGGGTCTGAGTGCCGGCTGCCACCCTGGCCAGGATGGTAGCTGTCCCTCCCTCCCCTTTGTCAACCTGTGGTCCCCAGGATCTGCTGTCCCCCCCTGCCAGCCAAGGCTAGTGGGGAGCAGCCCTGTCCCCCACACAGCAGAGCAGCTGAGGGTTTGGGGTTGGGGGCTGGGATTGGACCTCCCCTTTCGTCTTCCCTTAAATTAGGGCCAAGCTGAGTGTAAAGGCTGTAAGCAGGCAGCCAGAGGTGACACGGGGACAAGGGACACGACATGGGGAGCAGGCTGGCCCGTGGCCCTCCCCCAAGCTGCGGGGAAAACAGGGAAAGCCAAAGCTCAGGGGACAAAGCTGTCCCCAGCCTGGGAGGGGCCGGGGCAGCAATCTGACCAGGACAAAGGACCCCCAGGCTGGGTCCCCTGTCCCCTCGCTGTCCCCATGGGACGGGCGCTGGCCGGTTGGATAAGGCGATACCACAGCAGCTTAAGGTGGCAGGTGCGGTGTTGGTACCGAGTCTTGCAGCGGGGCTGGGGCAGGATGGAGCGTGATGTAAACATTTCTGATCTGGTGGGGGAGAAGGAGGAGGAGGGGGCTAGTGTGAGTCCTTCATCTGCTTCTGGATCTTCTGGAGCATCTCCTGCATCCGCCGCAGCTGGAAGGGAGCAGAGCAGGGATCACGGTGGGGCACTGGCACCCCCCAGCCATGCCACCTCCCTCGTGAGTGTGTTTGGGTCAAGCATCACAAGCAGATTGGAATCACCAAGAGCTGAAGCTGGGGGCGGGGGGAACCCTCTGATGCCCCGCCAACACCTACTCAGCCTGGCCTGAGGAGCCGCGGCTGGTGGGATGCTGCAGGAAGGGTGGCCCCTCATGGCTGTGCCATCGTTAGGGCTGGGGATATAGGAGGGACCGGGGGTGATTGGGGAGGGCTCAGCCCTCCCTCCATACTCACCTCCTCGTCCTTCTCCCGGATGAGCTTCTCCGTTTCCGCGTCTGGCACCGGGGGGATGACAGGGATGGGGAAATCCGTCCCACTCTCCCGTGTCAGCTTGCTGTGGGCAGAGAGAAGAGGTGAAGATGCTGCCACAGCCCTCCTGGTCCCCCACGGGGGACATTCCCCCATGGGTGCTGTGGCCCCAGAGATCCCCAACCTTGCAGATACCCACCACCTGCCTGCACGGACCCTGAGCCCCCCCAGCCAGGGCCGCACTCGGCCCTTTTCCTGGCAGCAGGGAACATGGGCAGCTCCAGGCATCTCCCCAATCCTTGGCAGCCCTGAGATACTGCAAACCAGTTTGGAGAACCCAGGGAGGCACCGCCAACAGCAAGGGGTACCAGGGACTCCCTCCCCCAGAGCACAGAGCCTCGTCTGGGTGTTTCAAGCTGGGGTCAGGCTCTCCTCGCTCAATATTTTCTCTGCTACTTTAAAACATCTTAAACTCAGCACCTCCCTTCTCTCCCACAGCCACAGCCCCGCTGCAGGATGGGCTCCCCAGGCACGCCCACTGCCCAGTGAGCCCCAGGAATGCTCCTCACCCCTTTGCCTGAGCATCAGCTCCCTCTCAAGCCCATTTCAGCTGGAGGGAGCTGTGGGCTTCCCACTGGGGCTGCCCCACTGCGCAGGACCGCAGCAGCCAGCCAAAAATCGATGGCTTCTCCCATGCCAACGGCAATGGGGAGGGACCAGCTCTCCCGGCCGGGGCCCTGTGGATGCCACGTGCTTCCCCAGCGGGTGACAACGCAGCTGGGACACCGCCAACACGGCTAGCAGGGGTCGTGCATACCGCCACGTGCCACCGCCACGTGCCACCGCCAGTACAGCCCCTCCGCGCGCTGTGGGGTGATGGCCACGGCGGGTGTTGCACGGGTGGGCTGGGCCACCCCTGCCCTGCTGGGTCCCGTTGTGCCGGGGGGGCCGTGCCAGCGTGCCACAGCAAGGGACGGGTTTCAGCCGCGTTTTGAGCTGCTTTGGAAGTCACTGCCCGTTGTCACAGCTCCTCACCGTGGGGGGACCCAGGGGGGAGCACATCAAGTTCCTTCCATCCCTGGCAGCGAGACAAGGCTTGAGCTGGGCACTGGAAAAGGGGCAAGCAGCTTCACCAGCCCAGGAAAGCCTGCCTTCCTAGAAAAGGCAGCAGTCCTGCCTACCGCTGCCTCCTGCACCCCAAAAATCACATCCCCCTGGGAGGGCAGCAGGATGGGGGTGCCCGCCCTGCAGCCCTTCCCTTGGGCAGCTTTTTGCTGGGAAAAGCTAGGTGCCACCAAACAGTGACACGTCCCCCCAACCCCTGGGTGAGCCAGGGTGATGCCACCGGCACACGGCATCCTCCTGGTGGTGCCGGCACCCCAAGGGCAACTTGTGTGGGCAACAGGCAGGTGGCCACTGGGCCAGCTCTCCCCGAGAGAAGCTGCCCGGCCCTTGCGCGGGCACAGAAGGACCAAGACAGCGTTGGGTACCAGTAAGTATTTTATATAGGGGGATGGGCAGAGGGAGGAGGGCACCGGGGGCCCAACGTGGCCCCGGCCAGATTCTGGCTCAGTCGGCGGAGCAGTCGGCACAGCACAGCCTCAGGGTGGAGGGATGCCGCCTTCCCCAGCAGCGGGTATGGAGAGACCAGCTTAGAGGCACCTATAGCTGACACCAGTGTCCCCCCACCTCCACCAGCACTGCTGCTTTGGCCCTCAGTGATCCACAGAGCCTCAACTTGCTCCCGCACTGCTCCAGCCCCCCATCTGGAGGGTCCCACCAGGGACCCTGCTCTGGGGGGCTCCCCCCAGCATCTTTGGGTGGCTAGAGGGGATGTGGGTGCCATGAGTCTGGCTAGTACTGGTGGCAGAGCCCCAGCACCAGCTGCTTGCTTGGCTCCTGCTCCAGCCCCGGAGCCTGCAGGGACAGAGGGTCCCCCTGGCTGCCAGAGCATCTTCCTGGAATCCCATGGGGACACAAAATCCCCCTTTGCTGCTGGAGCTCCACCCCCCAGCCAGCCCCAGGGGGACGCAGGGTTCTCTTGGCTGCCAGAACATTTCCCCCTGCCCTGCCAGCCAGCCCCACACCGGGGAGACACAGGGTCCCCATCTCTGCTTGAGCATCCCCCTCCAGCCAGGTCAGGAGGACACAGGGTCTCTCTTGCTGCTGGAGCATCTCCCCCCCCCCCCCCCCAACCCCTAGCCCAGTGGCACCGAAAGGGCCCCCCACAGCATTGGGGCACCCCACCACACTGCCAAAAGGCTCCCTTGCCCAGCTCACCACGATGCCTGGGCAGGGACCAAACACACAACCTCAACCCCCCGGAATCACCACTCGCAATGGGCCGGGGTCACCCTAAAGAGAGGGGACACTCCCCCCCCCCCCCCCCCCAGCCTGGCAGCCCACTCCCAGCCCCGTACTTGCGGTTCCTCTCCTTCACCACCATGCGGGTCATGCTCTGGATGCACTGCGTGCGGTAGTTCTCATAGTGGGTTTCCCGCGTCACGTCCTTGAGGTCCTGCATGTGGGTTCTCACCAGCATCGTCCGCAGCTTCACGAAGTCGCAGTGGGATGGGTTCTCCACTGCGGGGGAGCCCGGCGTCAGGGGGCCACAGCCAGCCCCCCCCAGGTCCCCCTAAGCGCCCCCCCAGGCTGAACAGCATGGAGATGGGGTGCACCGTGTCCCCATCACCCCAGGGCTGGTGGGACCCTGGTGACACAGCCCTGCATTACCTTCCACAATGCCCCAGGGGTAAAGGCGCCCGCGGACGCGCCGGCCTTTGGCCTCCACGACTGTGTTGCTGCCGATGACGGCAAAGGGGATGCTCTCCTGCAAGAGGACAGAAGGGGTTAGCAGGGCTCAGGCCTGCCCGCCCTGGCACACATCCCTCTACAACACATCTTCTCGGCCGTACCCAGCACCCATTTGCCAAGACACCTGGCTATGGGGTGCCCCAGGTGGGACAGCAGCAGTCATGGCATGGGTTTCTTCACCCAAGCCCCATCCCACCAAGCTGCAGATGGTACCTGTGGGGCCTTGGTGACTTACCCAGGTAGTGTGATATGTACCAATCCCACCATGCTGGGGCTGCTGGAGGGCTTGCGTGGCCCCAAAGAGCCCCAAGGGTACCCCAGGATGATGTGTCCTCCCAGGCACGGGGCTCTGCCTTCCCAAGGATGGAGCTGGAGGAGCCTGACCCTTTGCAGGGGCATTGGACTAGACGACCTTTAGGAGGTCCCTTCCAACCCAAACCATTCTATTGCTCTATGACCCACCTTCAGCGCCTGGTCCTGCAGCTTGAACTCTTCATCTTCATCCGAGTCACACTCAGGGAATTGGTAGATGCGGATGCCGTAGTGGTCAATCTCTTCCCGGATCTGGAGGCAGACAGCCTGGCTGAGGGCAGGGCTCTGGCCCTCGGAAGGAGGGTGGGAAGCACCACATAGCACCAATATCCCCCGAGAACCCACAAAAGCCTGTCCCCCCCAGACTAGATGTCACGGACACCCCCCTCCAGACCCTTCCAGCTCCCAGCTGAGCACCAGGGAGATGTTTCCTTCATGGCCATGTGGGCAACATGGCCCTCGACAGAGCTGTGAGCGTGGTGCTCCATGGCAAAGCCCAGGCTGGACAGATGCCCCAGGGCACCCCCATCCCCAGGGACCCGCTGGGACAGCTCCAAGCCGGGCTGACCTCCCCTTACCTTGTTCTTCATGCGCTCCACCTCGGCGGGGGTCAGGGTGTCAGCCTTGGCCAGCACCGGTACGATGTTCACCCGCTGGTGCAGGGCTCTCATGAACTCCACGTCCAGGGGCCGGAGGCTGCGAGGGGAGCCCAGTGAGCATTATCACACCGAGCCCCTTCCCCAGCCTCCCCCATCCCGGCAGCGCAGGCGGGGGGCTGCCCATACCCGTGGCCGAAGGGCGAGATGAAGTAGATGCAGCAGTGGACGCGGTTGTCCTGGATGTTCTTCCGGTTGAGGCCACTTTCGTCACGGAAATACTGCTCGAACTGCTGGTCGATGTAGTCGGCCACTGGCTTCCAGCTGCAGGGACAGGGAAGTGACCATCTGAGTCCCCTGTAGGACCCTCGAGCTTTCTCTGAACCCCCCAGCTCAACATGTCCCAGGGCTCAGCGTCGCAGCCCGAGGAGCCACGGGCACCCCACTCTGAGCCGCTGGCACCCACAGTGGTGCTGCCTGGCCCCGGGTAGACCCCCCACCCTCCGTGGGACGCACCACTCGGTGTTGTTGACAGCGTCACCAAAGCCCGGCGTGTCCACAATGGTCAGGCGCAGCTTGACACCCTTCTCCTCGATGTCCACCACGTGCTTGGTGATCTCCACCGTCTGCGTGATGCGCTCTGCAGCAGCAGGAGACATGCCGACGGAGGGGCAGCCACCCCAGGCACGAGACAATGGGGGTGACACAGGGAGATGCTGCAGCCCCCCCCCGGGTGTCACCCCACACACACACACACCCTGCAGGGCCGAGGTGGCTTTGCAGGATCAGCCCCAACACGTTCTGGGGTCCAGAGCTGAGAGATGATGCCCCACGCCATGCCCCCCCCCCCCCTCCATGGATGCACACCCATCCCTCGGCAGCTGTGCCACCGCCACCCCATGAGAGCCTGGTTCCTGCGGCACGGGGGGCTGCTGGGGCCAGGCATCACTGTGGGAGCATTTTTGGTTCCCTGTACCCCCATGTGTGACCCCACAGCTCCGGGACTGCGCATGCCCCATCACCCCCAGGACCCCTCCATGTCCCTCCATCCCCCCAGGGTGCTCCCGTTGCACCGTGTGCGTGTGGCCACACGCGTTCCGGCTTTCGCTCTGAGCAACGGAAACAAATCAAACAACCGCCTCGAACCCCTGGGGATTTGGGCAAGTTTGGGCGATTTTAATTCAAAAACTGGCTGCAGCTGAACCGGCACTGTGCCCTGAACCCCGACTGTCCGCAGCCTCCAAGATTTGCTGCGACTCCAGCCGATCCCCAACAAGCTGGGGCTTGTTTTTCCAGCGGGGACAAAGCCCTGGTGGGGGGTCCTCGTGCTGGGCAGGGGGGTCCCCGCTACCTTGGAGTGGTCCCCAGCGTCGGCAGGCAGCTGGCAACAGGCTGCACGTGGCTTCGGAGACCCGGAGGAGCCCGGCTGGGCAGGGAGAGGGGCTGCAGCCCCCCAGGGAGCAGCATGGGGCTCTGCCACCCCCCCAGGACACCCCATTGCTGGGACTGTCACACACACACCCCCCTCACCTTCAGCGTTCAGCAGCTTGCGGTCTCTGTACATGTCTGTCAGGAAGAGGCTGTTGACCAGGGTGGATTTGCCCAGCCCAGATTCCCCTGGGACAGGGAGAAAAGGGTGAGTGGGGGGAAGCCTGTACCCACTCTGCTCCATGGATTTTGGGATCCAGAGCGGGGTCAGCATCCCCCATGCCAGTCTCACCCCGCCCCACCCCGTACCTGCCACCATCAGGGTGAAGTCAAAGCCCTTCTTCACCGACTTCCGATGGACTTGGTTGGGCAGCGTGGCGAAGCCCACATACTCCTTGTCATCCTGCAGGCAGAGGGGATTTGGGACAGGGGACATCACCATCCCACCCCACCCCCCCATCCTGGCAGACCATTCCCTCCCTCCTGCCCCCTCCCCTCCCGCCCCAGGGTTGGGGTGCTGCAGGATGTGGCCGTGCCTGCCTGAACCCTTTGGGTTTGGAGGGTGAGAACATCCTCCTCCATAACTCCTGCAGCCCCTCGTCCCATGTGCCCCGCCTCCCCCCCGTCCCCCGGGGACACATCCTGCACCTCAGAGGAGTCATAGGGGTCCAGCTGCCCCCAGGGGCTCCGCGGGCGGTTGGGGCTGGGGGGTGGTGGGGCGGCGATGTGCTGCTGGAAATCCGAGGGTCGAGACCGGGAGAAGATCCTGGCATCCCTCTCGTCAGTGGGTTCGTCGGGGGGGACCCTGCCCACACCACAGAGGGGGTGGCCGGGCTCCCGCCGGCTCTCCAGGGGCTCCACCTTCCTGGGGCTGTCGGCCGGTGGGCAATCCCGCAGGAGCTGGGTCAGCTCAGCCTCCTCCGAGTCCTCCTTCAGGAAACGCTTTATCTGGGGGCCAAGGGAGGAGGTGACACCAATGGTGGCAGTGCCAGCCTGGGGTGGCATCGCCCGACTTGGCATCATGAGCCCCCAAACCACAGCAGCCAGACACATGCAGACACAAAGATGGGAGGGATGGGAGGAGAGGGGGACATGACCAGCCATCACCCTGGGGACAGCCATGGGGACAGCCGTGGGGACAGCCATGGTCCCATGCACCCTGGGCGCTTACAGCTCGCGGTGCAGGGACAGCAGCCACCTCCTGGCATTCGGGGGGACAGGAACGTTCCCTCTGGGCACCCTGCCATTCCTCAGGGTCTTCTGGGGTAGCCAGGACCCCCACACACCCCATGGCCTGCCAGGAGGACAGGGAGGGGATGCCAGGGAGGAGGGAGAGACACCAAGAGAAGATGAACAGTAGCGGTAGAGGAGCTGGCAGTGGGGCTGGACCCACAGGGGAGGCAGATAGTGGGCAGGGGTCTGCCTTTTCCCCCCTGCCTGCCTGCTTTCAGGGTCTCAGTACGGGTGAGGGCACAAGGGGCTCCCACCCCAGCAGTCCCAGGGGACAGCTGGGGCAGGGGACCGGACCCACAGCCATTGCCAAGCCCACGTGCAAAGGGCTCGGGGGCCACGGGCACCCCTCGTGCAAAGGAGCTACAAACCCCACAGCCATGCACAGGCCGTGTCCCGGCACACCCCAGGAACCCCGCCACCCCCTCGCCCCCAGCTTTGCCCATCCTGGAGCTGGTGCAGGCAGCAGCCCCAGGCAGGGCCAGGGGGGTGGGGTCCAGGCGCTGGAGCCCCCGAGCTGGTGGCTCAGTGGGGTGGCAGGGCTGGGATGAGGGACGGGGACGCGGGGACTGGGATGGCTCCACATCCTGTTTACAAGCGCTGGCGGGAGGAGACGCGTTCCCAAGGGCACGTCCGGCAGCAGCTCCCGCAGGACCGAGCCCTACTGCCAGCAGGCACCAGGGTCCCCGATACCCCACCCCAGCAACTGCTCGGGGAACCCCAGCCCCATGGGCAGGGAGACCCTCAAACAGGGGCACACAGGGTCTGGGGGAGCCCCTGACTCCGCAGGCTCGCATCTGGGGGTCAGTGCCTGCCCCCCCCCCCCCCCCCCGCCACCAGATTCGGACCTCGAGGCAAGAGCCCTCCATGGGGACACGTGTCCTCCCCTGTCCCGTGTCCCCGCTCCATCTGCGGGGAGGGCAGCTGTGCCGGCAGCGAGGCGAGATGCACCGAATTAGCAGGCTGGAAACAAGGTCACGGCACTGCCGGGGCTGCGCGCTCGCACACCTGCCCCCCGCTCCCCGGTGCCTCTGCAGCCACCGGCACGGGGGGGCCATGGTGCCAGGCAGGGGGGGGCAGTAAGTGCCCCCATGCTCCCCTCTCCCCCAGAGGGTCAATAGCACTCAGCAGGTCTGTGTGACCACAGCAACCTCTCCCTCACCAACCTTGACCTGGGGGGGGGGGGGTCAGCACCAGCCCCCACTGCAGCACAGCCCAGCTGCTGGGCCACAATGGGATGGGAGATGATGCCACTATCTGGCATCATCTGCTCCAGCCCTCGGGGCTCCAGCCCTTTGGGGTTGTCCCTCATCCCCCCACCCCAGAGAAGGTGATGGACTGTGGCATGGGGTTGGGGAGGGGTGGGGGGCTTGCACCACGTCCTCGGGGGTCCTGCAGCAAGCACAGCCCCCAGCAAGGCCATCCCAGGAACAGAGCTGTTGGCACCTCCCTGCAGCACTGGGGTGCTCTGGGTCCCCCATCCCCATCTGCCCCCCTCTCTCTTGCCCCACCGGGAAGGGATGCTGCCCCCGTACCTCTTGCCCAGGCTGTGGCTCAGGGCAGGTGGCCATGGCAGAACCGGCATCACCCGTGGCCAGGAGAGGATGCTGAGTGACGCCGGCTGTGCCACGGGATGGGCAGTGGCATTAGCATAACTCCACCCTGCGCAGACACCGTGGCTGGGGTGTCCACGGCACCCAGCAGCCAGGCACAGACCCTGTGGGTCCTTGGGCGGGGGGGGGAGGACCAGCGTGGGGGGCACAGGAGGGGAGAGGGAGCCCCGGGGCAGAGCCAAAGCCAGCTCCTGTCCAGCTGTCTATATGTCAAGGACAAGCAAAGCACCACTGGCCAAGGAGGTGGCCAGGCAGGTCCTGGGGGGCTGCATGACCACTGCCACCACCAGCCCCCCTGAGCTGAACACACAGCTTGGCTACAGCCCAGCAGGACATTCAGCCTCTGGAAACACCACCCTCCGAGGACACCACCCCCTCCATCCCAGTGCACACCAGGTCATCTCCCATTCCCCACCCTGGAGCACCCCACAGCCACTCTGGCAGAGCCCCCCAGCCTCTTTGAAGGGAGAAACCCAGTTTTCCATAAAAGACTGTTTGAAAACTCAACTGTTTTGCACCTGACAATTAAAGCTTCCTGCACGGCTCCAAGTTCCTGCTCCAGCTGGGCCTGAGGGGTCCAGCCAGGAAGGACCCGACCCTGGTTTGGGAGAAGCAGGGATGATACCCACCACAAGAATCCCCAGCAGAAGTTCCCAGCAGTCCTGTCTCAGCTTCCCCAGCTCATCCTTAGGGTGGGGAAGGGTTAACAGTGCCCCAGGAGGAACAGCGGGTGGCAGAGTAGCTGAGCTGTCACTATTGGGGTCACCAGGGACAGTGATTCACCTTGATGCATGTCGAGATGCATCAGAGCAGCTCAGGCAGAGAGCCGGGGGTCGTTCAGCCGCGGAAGGGCTGCGTTCACCAGGAAAGCACTAAAAAGCTTCGGCTGGTGCTGGGACAGGCGCGATGAACCATGAGTCTGACAGCCACCGAGAGGGGCCTGGATGTTTCCGTGCTGGTCCCCAGCACCCCTGGGTCCCAGCCATGCTCCTAACCCAGTGCCGGATCTCACCCCCCCCCCCCAGCCTTGAGGTGTTCACCCCATCCTCAGCCATCCCTGCTCAGCTCGGTCCCAGGGGAGCAGTGTCACCATCCCCGGCTGACACTGAACTGCCCTAAAGGAGCTCCCTCATGGCTTTGCACCCCCTTTCCCCCCTCATGGCAGGCTGCAGCACCCCACCACCACCCCACCAGCCTGGCCAGGCTCTGCACCCTATCCGTGGTGCCCCTCACCCCCCCCCCCCCCAAACCACAGCGTCACACAGCTCTCCTACAATACCCGCCACTTTCCAACCGTCCCACCCCGCTCTCCCAGCAGGAGTGGGGATTTACTGCAGCGAGAGCCGGGGGCCGTGTCGGTGCCCCCGTAAGCGGATTAAACACCCGGCTGCGAGCGAGCCGGCACTCAGCGCCAGGGCTGTCACCAGCCTGGCAGCTCCAGCGAGGTGGCTCACGCGCTGCCTCGTCCCTACCTGTCACCCTGAATCACACCTACCCCGCGCACAGTGACAGCCCAAGGGCCGGGGCAGAGGGGGCACAGGGGCAGCGGGCAAAGCCTGAGCTGGGAAAGTCCCCGGCAGCCTGTCAGCATCTTTCTGCCTGGCGCCACATTCCCAAGGGATGTGTTTTCCCAGCCTGTTTCTGCAGGCAAAGGAAGGGAACACCCCAGCGAGGTGCTTTCCCCTCAGCCAGGCTGGCTGAGGCATCCCCAGCCTACCCAAAGGTGACATCCAGATGTGCCACCCACGGCGCAGCACACACCGCTCCACTGCGGCGCAACAGCTGAGCATCCCGGGCACAAACACCCCGTCCCCAAGGCACGAGTGCCACGTGGGACAAGGGCACGGTGGCCCCACGGAAGCCCAGCTCTGCTGGGACCAGTCTGGCTCTTCTCCAGGGCAGCCAGCACCTGGGCTGCGCCTGCTCTGACCTGCCTCCAGACGCACCGGGTGCTCCCACCGGCGGGCTGTAATCAGTTTCCTACTCCCACCTCTCCCCTCTCACCCCGCCAGCAGCACCCCGGTGGGGAAACTGAGTCTAACAACAGCTTTAAGAAGAGCGGGGTGCAGGTGGTGGCACAAGGTCCCTGCTCTAGGCAGGGGGACAGCTCCAGGTGGGCGAGCACTCAAGGATGAGAGCCTTTCCGACACGTTCCTCAGTGCAGCAGCTCCAGCCCTTTTCCTGCAGGGAATCCTCCAGCCTGAAGGGCCTGCGAGTGCCTGCCCGGGGACAGGACCATGCACAGTGGCACCCTGCGAGCCGGGAGGTGACAGCGGGGCCTGTCCCAGCTGGAAATAAGGCAGCATCTCAGCACGTGGGGACAGGTGAGAAGACCCAGCCCCCTGAGAGCTGTGAGCAGAGGTTGAGGGTGACCATTGCTCATCCAGTTTCTCCGGGCAAGCCGTGGACCACTTTGGGGACAGAGGGATGCAGCACCAGTGTCGGGGGGGGGGGCACTGGTCTTTCTGGATGCATCCCCACCCGCCTCCAGCCCCAGCTCAAACCGTGTGCACACACGCAGGAGCCCAGCTCCACGCCGGTACCCAGCTGTGGGCTGTCGTCCTCCCCCGCCCCGAGATGTCCCCAAGCCTGGATCTGTCCATCCCCAAAGCCACGGCTGGGAGCCTTTCGGGAAGGCTCTTGCCGGGGCCGGTTGCGACACGCTCCGCCAGCCGCCCTCCTATCTGGTTTCAGTGCTCCGGAGGAATGTGCCGGTCCCGTTCCCACGGCGGCTGCCGGGGGAAGGACGGCCGCGACGGTCCCCACCAAGGGCAGCTGTCCCAGCGGCCGCAACCCCGGTGCCACGCCAGCCACGGCCACAACCTTCCATCTTCATCCCCACCCCGGGCACGGCGAGCGCCCCGAGGTCCCCGCGGGGACATGGCCCTGGCAAGCGGCTCCTGGGGACCCTCCGCCACCGAAGAGGGGTGAGGCAGGACGAGAGCTGCAGGACGGGCTCCCACCGGGCCGGGAAGGCCGTGGGTGGCTCCGGACTTTGCCGGTAACTGCAGAGACGGCTCCGAAGCGCAGCGAGGCTCCGGGCGAGCCCGACGGTCCCCGCAGGAGGGCCCGGCCAGCCTGGCAGCGCCGCCAGGACCGCAGCCCGGGGGGGGGGGGGACCTGCCAAAGGCACGGCCGGGTGACCGATGCTCTGCTCGGAGCCACCCCAGAACAGCCCCACTCTCCTTTCCCAGCCCACGCAGAGACACCCCGGGGAGTGCCGCAGGTCGCGGGGGGACACACGCAGGTGCCGCTCAGAGGCAGCGTCGCCTTTCCGGGAGGCTCCCGCCCCGATGCCACGGTGAAGGGCGGCGTGCAGGCGGTCCCACTGTAACACCCCCACACACACCCCCACCCCATCTCCTCCAAGATTGGAACCGGGCAGGTGCTGCCGCGCTGCCCGTTGCCCACCCACCCCCCCCGCCCCTCTGCGGCACCGGCGGCCCCGGCCCGCTCCGCCCCCACCGCGCCGTCACCTTCACGGAGGGCAGTGGGGTGCGGGAGCGGGCCCGGCCCCGGGGTACGGCCCGGCCCGGCCCCCCCCACCGGCCTTACCATGGCTGCGGCGCCGGGCGCCGTCCGGGAGCGGCGGCTGCCGAGCGGCACGGCCGGGCCCCGCCGCCGGGATTAGCAGAAATAGCAGCCGGCGGGGGCGGGGGCGGGGCGGGGCGGCGGGAGGGGCGGGGGCGGCCGCTCGGCACCGGGCACCGGGCACCGGCACCAAGAGCTGCGCACCGGGCACCGGCATCACGCACCGGGCATCGGGCTCCAGCACCGGGCACTGGCGTCAGTCCTGGGTACCAGGTACAGGGCACAGGCACCGGGTGCTGGGCGCCAGCACCGGGTGCAGGGCACTAGGACCAGGTATAAGGCACAGGCACCGGGTGCTGGGCGCCAGCACCGGGTGCAGGGCACTAGGACCAGGTATAAGGCACAGGCACCGGGTGCTGGGTGCCAGCACCGGGTGCAGGGCACTAGGACCAGGTATAAGGCACAGGCACCGGGTGCTGGGCGCCAGCACCGGGTGCAGGGCACTAGGACCAGGTATAAGGCACAGGCACCGGGTGCTGGGTGCCAGCACCGGGTGCAGGGCACTAGGACCAGGTATAAGGCACAGGCACCGGGTGCTGGGTGCCAGCACCGGGTGCAGGGCACTAGGACCAGGTATAAGGCACAGGCACCGGGTACTGGGTGCCAGCACCGGGTGCAGGGCACTAGGACCAGGTATAAGGCACAGGCACCGGGTGCTGGGCGCCAGCACCGGGTGCAGGGCACTAGGACCAGGTATAAGGCACAGGCACTGGGCACCAGGTGAGGGCAGCGGGTACAAGGGCCCAGCACCGGGTACTGGTCCAGGTGAGAAAGAACAGCCCCAGCCCCGAGGAGTGACCCCCCCAGCAGCAGGCACCAATACCAGGTATCGGGCAGGAGGCACTGGGCACTAGTCACTGCACACCAGTCACTGGGTATTGGGAGCACCGGGCACCAGTTAGTGGGTATTGGGTACTGGGTACCACACACCAGGCACCAAGAACCAGGCACCACACATCACACGTTGGGCACCGTGTGCCAGGTACCAGGGTCTGGAGACCACACTGGGCACGGGGCACCGGATCCCAGTCTTTCCCAGTGCTCCCTCTGCAAAATCCCAGCCTGTCTTCCCCTCCCGGAGCCTTTCCTGGGGCTGATGCTGGGCAATTCTGCCCACTGCCCTGCCTTGGCTCGGTTGCAACTGCCGGGCAGGCTGGAAATCTGGCAAGGGGACCAGCAACCCCGCGGGCTGTGTCCCTGTCCTTGTCCCCATCCTATGCCAGGGGTCACAGCCCCTTCCCGGATGCCCCCAGCCCCAGGCCCCTACTGTCAAAGGCAGCGAGCACCAGTGGCACGTGGCTGTATCTCCCCCCGTCCCCACTGAGGGCAGGGGAGGACGCTGGCACAGCCGACTGGGGCGGCGTGGGGTGCTTGTGTTCCCGGCCGTGAAAGGGGCCGGGG